TATCACGATCTCACTAAGAGCCCCAGTTCTCGGAGTAATCCTTACCAGTAATCTATGGCGTGCCTTCGTTGAGATGACACGACTTTTCGTAACTGCAAATTGCTAATTGTATAACCAGGCCGTATCCTTTTACTTTTAATTTAGCACGTGAGAGCATCCATTTAGATTAAAAAAAAAGAAGATTGCTGCAACATTTTTACATAATATATATAGATTTGTACCACATATTGTTTAAAAGTTACAGTTTTCTGCTTTTTTACTTACTTTTATATAAGAATTTTAAGTGTTTCGAATTTTACATTCAGAGATAGAAGAGAGATAAAATTGCATACAGAGAATCATGTATTAATGTATCTATAGATAAGATCACAATATGATAATGGTACTCCGTAAAAATTTTAAAACCCATATTAATTCAATACTAAAAAAATATAAACAATCTGTCTCTTTTTAATAATTTTACACAGTTAAGAATGCCTGCGAGACACGATGTTTGTGAAATTCTACTTAACAGTATAGTCAGCTTAATAATTTAAAATTATGTTCATTAGAATATTATTAACATTTGACACACTGAACTTAATTCATCTATTTATTTATTTTTAATTTAAGCAATAAATTATTTGTTGTAAACCTGTTTGAAGCGAGTAAGCTTTACGGTCAACGTTAAAAATAAAACGTGTATCGTCAGCATTTGGCATGATTTGAAAGAAATCCTGTACACGGAATTGAAATAGAAAATGTATTAATACAATATTAGGTACTCTAGTGTTAATGAAATAAACACTAGATCAAACAAAGAATTGATTGCCCAAGTCCGGGATGGTTAGCGCTCCTTGGGGTGGCATTCCCTTAGCAGTGGGCTGTAATAAGCTGATGACTAAAACACACAGAATTTATGATACATTCATACAATCAATCTTTACTTTTAAATTCAAATTGTGTGCAAGTCACATTATTACTTATTTTTTACCCACAAACCTGACTTATAAATATACCTAACTTATATTTATAAAAATACGAAATTCAGTTTTTATAATATTTGGATACTCACTCTCTCTATTTCATAAAAAAATTAAAATCGTTTGAAATCGTCTTTTATGTAGACTCTAAAGTCATCGATCAACACACACAATAGAAACAATCTCTATTTTGTCAAATAGTAAGCAAATAAATTTAATAAAAATTAAACTTCTACCTATGATATGCCTGTGCCGACCTACAACCGCCCGTTTCCAAGGGGTTCAGTTTTATGAGAAGAAAGGGCAAACAAGCTCATGGCCACTCTTTTGGAATTTACAGATAGATAGAATGGAATTATTAAATATACCTTTTTAACATTTTAACATTGTTTTGATGTGTGCCAGTATGTCCGTTATTAAGGACTAAAAGGTAAAAAGACAATAAAAAAAAACAAGATTAAGAAAAAAAAATCGAATAAAAGAGAAAACGAAGTGAAACATAAAAAATAGAAAATAATAATAATAAAAAACACACTAGCCCACACCACATTTTTACTTGAAAAATGCTTGGGATTAATGATTACAGGCTATTTCGCCTGTGCTAATTAATCCCAAGCATTTTTGTCTTCTATGTAATCCACAATTGAGTAATAGGCTCCTCGACACAATTCACGTTTTATTGCGGATTTAAATTTGTTAATACTTAAGTCTTGAATATTATTTGGGATTTTATTATGAAATCGGACACATTGACTTCGAAAAGACGTGTTTATCTTTTGAAGCCTAGAGGCAGGTACTACAAGTTCATTTCTATTTCTGGTATTTATACAATGTAATTTTTTATGACATCTTTTTTTATGAGACATATTAAATTTCTGCCTCAATGAACAACAATTACCTAAATTAAAGTAAAGTGCTCGAATTTGCAGTACAAAAAAATAGTTTAAATGTCATAATGCTATGAAAATAACTGAAGTAAACAAGTCGTGAAATTAGTAGTGTCCGTTGAAGTCTAAATAATAGTGATGTATCATCTGCAAACAACACAATCTCTAGATTGTCCTTGACAAGGTGAGGTAAGTCGTTAATATATAATAAAAACAAAAAAGGGCCGAGAATAGAACCTTGTGGAACGCCCATTTTTACCACAGAGCCTGGAGACCGGTCACCATTAATATCAACTTTCTGAATCCCAAATATTATATAGATATGAAGCAAGAAGTTCCAGTGCTTTATGTTTGATACCATAGTGCTGTTTGTTGCATTTCCTGATCAGCGTTTCATGAATAACACATTCAAAAGCTTCATATAAATCGCAAAAGATATCTAGAGAATCGTAGGCATCCTCAAAGGCATCGAATATGTGTTTTACAAGCTCAACACTGGCATCATTTGTGGCGACCTCTTGTAAAACCAAATTGTCCATTGTGTAATAAAATTATTATTATTAAAAAAACTTTGCTATTGATCATACTCACACATATTTTTTTCAAAAATTTTTGCTAAATACTGGTAGTACTGAGATAGGTCTAAAGTTATTTGGGTGAGATGTACTACCAGATTTGAATAAGGGAATAATAATAATAATAATAAAGAATAATACTAGACTTCATAAGTTCAGGAAATACACCACTATCAACACATTGACCAAATGTAAATGACAATTGATTAGCCACAAGAGATATAATTGTCTTAGTAATTAATATGTAATACTACATTGTCTAAATATTATTACTACATTCAAGAAAAAAATTATATGTATTTTAGATTTTAAATTATTCAGTGTTTGTTTGATAGGCGCTCAAAGTAAAATGAAACACGTGATTTTTCTAGAAAATTGTATAATTATTAGTTGTTATTTTTATTGCATTTTAAAACAATCCCTATTTTTCTCTTGTATGCAAATTTTTCATAATTACAGATTTTGAATTAAAAAAGTTATGTCAAAAAAATAACATAAATATTTGAAATGGCTGCCCTGTAAAATTCAATAAATTTCACATCCGACACTATTCTACAACTATGACGATATTTTTTAAAAACGCCAAATAACTGTAACGAAAATGCGACACATTTTTCTACAATATAAACAATCGCACAAAATTACGTCTAAGTATATTGGAGTAATAGTAGGCCAGAGCTGACCAGTCCTGACCCGTCCGCGTCAGCTATCCTCCAGCCGTGAACACCTGGCTCCCCGGCTTATGATAGATTTAGATAGATAGATTCACATAATATTCTTGTGTGTACTTTCACTACCATAAAAAGAAAACCATGTTCGGGTTAAGTTTTGCAAACTATCATAGAATAATAGTAAATATCATAATTCACAGTTTGTTTACAATTCGATAAGTAGACGCTTTGTTCGCATCAAAACATTTATGACTATGAATACGGAACATTTTTTTTTTGGCATATGTAACAAAACGAAATCAAACGAGTGCGGTGGCATGCGAAAAATATCAAAATCAAACACAAATAACTGTTGTAACATCTAAAAGGTGAGGCAAGTTTTAAATGTAGTTCAATTAAGAAATTATTTAAATTATCCGTGATTATTGTGCCAATAGCTACTTTTACTGTCGAATTTACAGAACAAAAAGCTACAAAATAAAACAGCAATATAGCGTTAAAAGGTTTCTAGGTATAATAACCCCTTTCTTTTTCTGTTATAATCTAATAAAATCTCGCTTATAATAACTAACTTTGGCCTGTGGTTGCGCTTGCAATAATGAAAATTTTATTTTGAAAAAACAGCAAGGTATAATAAAATTAATATTAAGGGACTGTGCTTTCTAAAAAGGACTAAGGGTACCGCTCTTAGTCCTTTTTATGGACCCAAAGCGTATTCAAAGTGAAAATCATCATTCATCAGAAAATGAAATTTCATAATTATGAAAATCGGAGAAAGTAAGCGCAAGAATTAAACTCACATAAATATTTTAAGTACTTATTATTCAGGGTACCGGTAAGATCAGTGGACTAACTAAACAACAAGCTTAGGCACATATCTAGGCACAACGGAGCGGTTCCACGGCCTTACAGAAAACCGGTGCCGGGTATTTCATTCGTCACTTGTGACTCTTGAATAGTAATGGGCAGCGGTAGTCAGTTACCAAAAGGTGACGCGTCTGCTCGTTTGCAAATACCATAAAAACAGGATCACATTAAACATTTCAGATTGCTACTTGATTCAGAAGACATGTTTTTGTGGCCAGCCCATTTAACACTTCTTCCTTTAGTGTCACCAGCTAAAAAATACTACCAAGATGTCTCTGGCCTTTTTGCACGTGGTTGTCAATCGGGACCACTCAAAAAGAGATCGTTATAACTTTGGCTATTTAAGTTTTTTAGTTTAGTTTTATTTGAATTTATTTATTTAAGCGTTACGTAGTTTCAATAATAAATTTTCGCCACCATATTTCTTACTTTGTAGAATAGAAAGATAAATTGCTGTAGAAAAGAAAATTAAAAGAAAAAAACGCAACAAAAGATTTTAATCTTGACTAGAACATGATATTCTACTCACAGTCAAATATGAAATTCAGTATTCTATAAACATTAAATTCTAGATTTCGCACTTCAATACTTTTATCAGTTAATTGAATCCTAAGTAGATACAAAGCAATAATGCGAAGATATCTTTATATAGATATCAATAGTTAGACAATTTTAAGGTATATAAGTTTATAGATACCTATATACATAAATAGAAAAAAAAAACAATATTTTGTAATGAGGTCGTCGAAAAATGATTTACATAGCTTAGGATTTGCTTAAGAGACACTTAAAAATTATGTACTACCCATTCAAAGAAATGGCTAATCACTAATATTTTATAAACCAACAGTTCTTCATGATCTTTACCCCAATGAACTGGTCAGGCCACATCATTGCAACTTCTTAGAAAAAAAAAACGACACAGCCAACCGGGCGAATGTCAAATTAAATCAACAAATGTTTGGTGAGGTTAAATTGTACAATTATTGTACAATTTTTTACAAATTATGAGTTAATCGTTTTGGAAACCAATAGAATATGGCTTTAGATTTAGTCAGCATAGCACAACCTCATTATATCCCAGGGTAAGTGTTCTCCGTCATGTACTTTTAACCAATTATGTGTGGAATATGGAGGTTATATGTATCAGCAGCAAGCCAACAACAGCGTTCAATTGACGAACCAATCTGAGCTGCTGCTGAAATGAAGCTATAAAAATATAGTATACTCAGAAAGTTTTATGTTGATATACCAGTTACAAACAGACGGAGCGAGTTAAATTATTTGCATTTATTTTGTGATTATTCTAGTTAATGAGAAGATACAACATGGAAAAAATATTTCAAAATATTTCGTCGTATTTTTATGAAATGTTTATTTTGAAAACAAAATCGTTGCGAACCGTAAGTTTCCCCCTACTACTCTCGGCAGCGCCGCGTAATTAAGATCTATTGACGTACACCATTTAATAACAGAGATAACTAAACAAATTTTAATTTGCCACAAAAATTAGGTCTTTTCTAATTCGAGATGCAGTAAATCAAAGTACCCAAAGTCCTTAAGAACTTGGTCCTTACAAAAAAGGAAAAGCTTCTGTGTGAAACGTTTGTCAACTCACTTTTTTTTATAGTTATCTTAACACGTAAAAAGTATGTTCGTTTTTCCATAGTAACTCATACCAAAAGCATGTATAAAAGTACCATCTATGTCTATAATGGCCATATAACAAAAAATAACAACAAAATGTAAACTACCTAATTCACACCATGAAAACGTCATGAGCTAGCCTACAAAATAATTGGTTAGATTTGCCTCATAACCACCATCCAAAATTATTATTTTAAATAATCATTTAAAAAAAGAAGCCAAAATGTCAATGTTCCAGTTAGTTTCAATATGACACAATAAATGTAGGTTCCTAAGAATGGCACTTTACAGCTAGCTTACTACCTCTACCTTTTGTCTTTGCGTTTCAAAACCATTATTAATTTTGTACATTTGTACATACAACATTTAAGTTCCAAAAAGGGCCGAGTTCTTCCAAACGTACCGTAACCTTATTTGTGCATGTTGAAATAATGATTCGTATTACTGTCCCACGAATTCACATTTTTCAACAAGTAAAGTTTGTTGCAAAATTGGCGCTACTGATGTAACCGTGAGTTACAATGGAATTTGACGGTACATATCTCACGTCGAGTTGTCAAGAACGAGATACAAATAAATTTTATTGATGAAACTTGCGTCCATATACACGAAATTACTTTTAAAGAATGATTGTGTAAGGGCCCTTACGTTGACAATGTATTTAGGGCGTTATGTTGGTCGTATCTCACGTCAAAATATGATAAATTATGTCTATATTACGTTACGACGCATATTTGAAGATATGGTAATGTAAGTGATTATTTCTGACATCAATAAAGTGAGTCATTGTGTTTTGTACAGACAAAGGTAATCCTCGATGCGGTCAATTACAATTATTTCTTAAAACCTTTAAATTTTTTATCCTACCTCACATATGGCTGTACTGGACCTGGCTAAAACGTAATTGATGGTTCTAAAAGGTGTTTTTATTTACATAAGATCAGCTTAGCTGCCAGTACTGTAAATATTAAATTTCATGACTAAATTACTTTTCAGGTATACGGGTCATTGTCCAGAGTACAAATATCGTATAGGCGACACATATGGGTCGACAACTCATAAAATACTCTTGGATCCTGCTGTCCAGCATTCAGAGCGGTTGGTGCTATCTGACAGAACAGCTGACGATTTTCAGGTTGACGTACTTTCTATTTGAAACGACACAGATCAAGTCAAAATAAAAATGTAAAGAAATAAAGGATTTTATCATTCATTTGTGAGTAATTGTTTGACAGATATTCCGGCCGCCACAAACTGACATCGATGTGGTGAATGCCAGATTCAGAAATGGAGACCCCGTGTATAAACATCCTATGATACCTGGGTATGAGGGTAAGTGATTTTTTTTAATTTTCTAAATCATTTATAAAGAGCCCAGTACACATTGGACCAACTCAGGCCAAGGCAAGTCAACGACAATGTCTTGACGGAGCAATGCTATACATTGGCAAACGTTTGGCCACCTTGGCACGTGTTCGAGATGTTGTCGGTTTTTTGGGCACACTTCAAAGAAATCGTGGCCTTCCTTGGCCTGTGGTTTTTACACACTCGCCTAATGTTTAGTTCGTCACCGACCGCTGACGGTATAGCACACTTTTTACTACACACTGTAGTAGATTAAATATAATAATATGATATGATATAAAATTGGTAAGCAGGTATTTGTTTCATATATTTAAAGTTACATCCATAAGGTCATATAGTTAACATAACAATATGTCGAAGGTGTAATTTTTAATAATTACTATCTTAATAATATTTAAAATGCGTAAATTCGTATGGACGAATGGATGTTTGTTGCTCTTTCACGCAAAAACGGCTGAACAGATCTGGACGAATTTTGGCACGGAGCCTGTCCCAAATTGGCCGTCCACTGGCCAATGTGTACTGGAGCCTTTAACAATTTCTGCAATAGAACACTACTTTAACACTGACTCAGAGACCTAATATTTTTTAATTAATCATGGAGGTCTAAAAATGCTCGTTTTATCGTCATATCTCTACTTCAATGCTGAAATAGATCTAAAGTTAGGAATAAAATATATTAAGTCCTAACCCGTTAAAATGGAAAAGCGTGACACATTTTTACCAAAGCCGGCATTACATGAATTAAGCTACCCATGGGACCAATAGAAGACTAAGACCCCATACCAAAACTAACCTAAAGTAGAACGGGAGATATTAGAGAAGGAAAGCCGAGAAAATGTATAGAAGGAAATCACGTTTGAGTTATTATTTGAAAAATTTGGGTGAATTTGAATGTTTGACCAGACCAGAAACCAAATTAATATTTGTTTTCTTTGCTTTAGAAGTTTTAATATGATATAATATTTTGCGAACATCTAACACACAACGCCATCTAGTTTCAAACTAAGCAGAACTTGTACTATGAAAACTAGATTGACTGATAAAATACTTACATACTTTTTTTGTAAATACATACATAGTATACATAGAAAGCACCCAAATATTTGCAGAGCATACAAATATTTGGTCCGACCCGGGAATCGAACCCGATACCTCAGAACAGCAATCTCATACGCTACCACTGCACCACCGAGGCAGTCAAGTTTTCTGTCTCAGTAAATAATTGTGATGAAGTCTGAAGGCTCTGTTGAATATACCCGATCATTTTACGATGAATCATAGTTCATGAGTCACAGATTATACCTACTCGACCGGTCCGAGGTATTCTGTGGTTTCCTGAAGTTCCGCTAAATACGCTCTATGCTAAAGGTCTGTTGTGTTTACATTTTATGTTATTATAGGACAGATAAAGCAATCATTTTGTTGTGCGTGCACCAAGACTAAATGGCTAAATACTAACTGTGATTAAACATAGGTATCACATAGGCCAATCAAACTTTTTCGGATGTAGTACCAATTAGTTAATGAGATAATATTGACCTCAAATAGTCTTCTTATTGCGAGAATACCTAGTGTAATAAGTAGTCACTGAAAAAGGTTGATTAGGACAATTTTGTTTTGATAATTTTTCAAAAACACGTACATTAGGAATATTATACCTATATAGATAATACTTGTAGAGATCACTCTGTCAACTCTTAATCACATATATGTTAATCACTCAAAAGCCGGTAACGCACTTGGTAATATTGAGTTGTGAGGTGCCCATCGGTGACGGTTATCACTTACCATCAGGTGACCCGTCTGTACGTTTGCTTCCTAGAACATAAAAAATACAATATCTATCACTATTTAAAAAAGGTTAAATATTATTCTGTGACAAGATAAAACCTTTTTTTTACTTAAATTCAAAGTATTAAATTATTTATTGTAAAGTCCATGCTTTTTTTTTAAACTGGTGACTTAGCTTTTATGACGAATGTACTTTTGAATAATATCTATCTCCTTTGTTAGTTTTAGTCACAACAGTCTAGCTGTCTTGACCATTCCTCATGTAGGTGTGAGTAATCGCTCTAAACCTCTTATACCTACTCGATTATGTACTCGAATTTATTTAGATAGTGTTAATTTAATCCATTTGCATATTTATACCAATAAAGTCTTGCTTAAGATAATTTATATCAAGCAACCTTGATTTAATTGTTTTCGCAGTATTACAAACTTGGATATTAAGTCGGTTTTTGCGTCAAAAAACAATTATCCGGCCCATTTGATGGTGAGCATTCACCGTTGTAGATACACATTTAATGTGATATTAGAGTTATCAGGGTCTGCACCAGACCGGGTCCGTCCGCCCCAGGATTTTTTATAGAGGTTGCCTTCCTCGTAGCCCTCGAAGAGCCGTCATTCCTGACTGTTGCCAGTCAGGCTTACGACTTGGCCGAACGGTGGTCTGCACCAGACCAGTGTCCACCACCTCTGGACAAAGCCAGCGACAGAGAACCCGTCCGCCCCCTGGCTTGGTCTTCATTATGCCCTCCGCCAAACAAAGGGACGGGACACGCGGCAGGCCGAACAACCCTCGGACGGGCCGTTCCCACCTCGGCCGTAAGCGGCAGCGCCTCCCCCACCTAGGGAGAAAGGCGCTGCCGTTTTCATTGCCCAGGGTGCACCACACGGCGGCTCCGGACCCCATCCAAAAAAAAACTTGATTGACTAATCCATATATCATATCAGACAATCGCAGAAAATAAGTCATAAGTTAATGTTATTTAAGCGAGGGTCACTTAACTGTCACATGGCCATCTCACTTTGGCTATAAAAAAATTAAGTGGGCTTTACAGGTACCTACCAAGCGTCAACACCCGCAGTCCAGTCCATTGAAAAAGATATTTAAATGTTTATAAAACGAATTGAATTGGAAACATTACAATTAGGTATATAATATATGTGTATAGACATTTATTTCTTTTAATTAACAATACAGGTGCTAAATAATTATATTCTCTTTATTTCAATTGGCTTTTTTCATCCGCTAAAGAATAAATGTTTATAAAGTTAAATAACGAATAATAATAATAATAATAATAATAATATATCTCACACATCTCACACACGGCCGTCTGATCCCAAACTAGGCAGAGCCTGTACTATGGTAACCAGACCGCTGATAAACATACTTATATATTTTTAAATACATACATATTATAGATAAATTACACCCAGACACAGAACAAATGACCGTGCTCATCACACAATATTTGTCCTGGGTGGGAATCGAACCCACGACCTCCGGCTTAGCAGTCAGGGTCACTAACCACTAGACCAACAGGCCCGTCCAAAATATCCGAATAATAATGACAATCTATGCGATTTGTAAAACAACCCGATGTACTAGAGCCCTAAGTATTTTACACTTTGAACCCAGGATTAAATATCTCAGAATTAAAATTGATAATTAATTTTAAGTAAAAAGAAATGTATTTTAATAATATGTCCTAGTGTCTTCATTAACACTGTTAATGCATAGAGCTTGTATGCTTATTTATGATTTTTATTTTTTACTTTATTCTTTTAGTTTTAAATGTTAAAATATCTCGTGAATTGGTGATTGTTCCTATTTGTACTTATACTTTTCATTGGCAAATAAAATAAAGATTATTTTAATAACTATTTATATTTAGATTATTTAAACTAAAATTACTACCACACCTAGGATTTCTCCCACGCCTCAACGCCCACTTCGGCCAGCGTTATACAGTAGCAGCAACCGAGGCCTTGTCAGACTTTCAAAGGGTGCAGATAAATCAAAGAGCGGCTAGAAATCAATTAGAACGGGTAGTTGACCTACAAGCCGGAAAAGGAAAACCATGGGATTTGGTCGATAGATTTGTAAGTGACAAACTTCTATTGAGAATGTGTCGACTATGTTTTTAAATAAACCTCTTGAAGATTTGTTCAAGCAGTTTATAAATTCAGTAAGAATGAAGATGAATGAAGAATAAAGAATGAGTGAACAGAAATATTGTGGAGTGGATGTCTCATAACTCTCTTGATGAAATAATTATGTCTGAGAAAGGATAAAATAAGTGCGATATTTATCCACAGTCGGCCACAGCAGAATTCAAATTGCCATTGGTCACGGTGCGGCCAGAATGTGCAGGAATACTTCGAGATGTACCCATGGACGAACCAAAGTTATCACCTGCAACGCATTCAGTCAGTCCTTATTTCATGGAAAATGCTGATCCCGACAAATTTATCAAGAAAGGTGAGAGGGATAACGATGCAACAAAATGCGAAAAATACTTATTCAACCTTTATGCGGTTACCTATTTATACCTGTTCACCATATCCGTATATTTTTTTAATGTCTATGCCTCAATTGTCAAAATTGACAATGTTTACTTGATTTTTAATATTTATTTTATTTTACATCAATGCTTTTTAATTGATGTCTTACTCTAGAGTACATACTTCTTTTGTCCGCTCCCAAATATGGGGGTATAATCCATCGCAATCAGTGCGTAAGTTTACAAAATAACTTGTTTTCAGCGTTATTAGTTTTATTATTTTTATGGGGATTAAGTGAAAATATGCTTGTTACAGGTTTTGCAGGCCATGTTCCATATGGTTTCTCACGGTTTGGCGAATCTTCGAAGAAGCTCACCAACTCCGCTCTTTGTGATTTCTCGTCTAATTATAGACGAAGACAGAGTACAGAATGGGCACCAGTGAATGTAGTAAAGTAAGTGGTTCCTACTAATTATTTAAGTTATATTGTCTTCAATTATTTGCTTTATTATTATTTTTTATTCTTTTAAAATATTATAAGCTTAATATTAAGAAGTACATATATATTTTTTCTATTAACCAATTTTTCTCTAAAACTATGTTTGTTTATTGTCATTAGCTACTTCTAATATTTTATCTAATGTATGGTTGTAATAAAACCTTGAGATTTTTGAGCATTTCAGTGTGACTAGCTCAAGTTTAAAAAAAATATCTGAATTGATAAAGAAAAGATATTGTATAAAAGGTATAATTTGGAAAAATCTAGTCACAATAGACAATCGTTTTGTTTTTCCTAACCAGAGTGTAGTGTTGGATTGCATTTTAATGTGATTAAGCAGATTTTTTAAGATAAATAAATCAAATAGATAGGTATATCTATTTGAATAATTCCTATTTGAAAAATACCTTTAAAACCTTTATAAACTCTCTAATTCTCTAGGTATATTTTGTTATTTTATTATTCAACTAATAGGAACTGTTTCCATAAATCTTATATGCTGCAATAAGTTGTAAACATTTAATTTATATAGTAAATTGAAAAAAAATATAATTATCATATTTTTATATTAAATGCCTTTTTTATTAACAACAATTAGATTTTAATTATTCTTTTCCTTGATTCATATACAACAAGGTGATAAAAACGAAATAAGTGTCATGGTTCTATATTATTTATAAAAATCATAATATTTATTTACATCATTGAAAATCTTCCACTTAGTTTTCTCACCAGACGCAGAATCCTTAGAATTGACCGGTGGCAGCACTATGATTTCAAGTGTCAAAATTGACATTGCTGTCATACTTGTCAATTCCAATAAGAATTTACACGCGTAAATTATTTCTTTTACTGTGATCATAAATAAAATATAGAAATGGCAAAGAAAAAGCTTTTGCCTAATCTCTCGAAAGAGGAGAAAATGGTGATAGTGATATCTGAGATAATACAAGAGCTATTAGTAGCGCATCGCCAAGGCAAGGATGTTAACCTCAACAAAATGAAAACAAGGATTTCATCCAAGTATGGACTTGGAACGTCACCGAGACTTGTAGATATCATCGCAGCGGTACCTGCCGATGCTAAAAAGATACTGCTACCGAAACTGAAAGCGAAACCTATTCGTACGGCGTCCGGGATAGCAGTAGTTGCTGTTATGTGCAAGCCACATCGGTGTCCTCATATTAATTTCACCGGAAACATCTGCGTATACTGCCCGGGTGGCCCCGACTCCGACTTTGAGTACTCTACTCAGAGTTATACAGGGTATGAGCCGACATCTATGAGAGCCATAAGAGCGAGATATAATCCTTACTTACAAACTCGTCACAGAGTAGAACAATTGAAACAGCTTGGTCACAGTGTCGATAAAGTCGAATTTATCGTAATGGGTGGTACTTTCATGAGTCTGCCTGAAGATTATAGAGACTATTTCATAAGGTAAGTTTCTGTTTGACAATTATACTAAATATTTTTATTGAGTTAAAAAGTTTTATATGGTGTAGTCAGGATTAAGAATTTCTAAAACCCTGAATATTACTTTATTTCAGGAATCTTCATGATGCCTTGTCTGGCCACACATCAAGCTCAGTGGCTGAGGCCGTAAAGTATTCTGAGAAGGCTAAGACAAAGTGCATTGGCATCACAATAGAGACCAGACCTGATTATTGTCTTCAGAGACATATGAGTGATATGCTCAACTATGGATGTACTAGGTAAGCAAGAAAGAAAGCTGGTTCTAAAATTTTATTATCTCCTTACTATACATGTAAGCTGAAATGTCAGAGGGAAAATATGTATACAATGTGTCCTGTAATTTTCAAATAGAAATTTGTTGTGCTCTTCCTCCTGTTTAAATCATATACTGATTTTATATCTTCTATAGTTATATTACTCATCGCTATTCTTCATTTAGATTCATATACTTACGGGCCTGTTGTACTAGTGGTTAGTAATCCCTGACTGCTAAGCCGGAGGTTGTGGGTTTGATTCCCACCCAGGATGATTTGTGTTGTGTCTGGGTGTAATTTATCTATAATATGTATGAATTTAGAAATATATAAGCATGTTTATTAGCAGTCTGGTTACCATAGTATAGGCTCTGCCTAGTTTGGAATTAGACAGCCTTGTGTGAAATGTGTGAAGTTACTATTATAATTACATGTTGTACATGCATGTACAACACTTTTTGCTGGCTATAACTTCCACTTATGTGATAGGAGGCTCGCAAGCAGTGTTATGTGACTAGATCTCTCATTGTCCCTAACCTCATATATTTATAAAGCCTATAAACAAATGCCTTATGTCATATCATTGTGATATTTTAGGTTGGAAATTGGTGTACAGTCTGTGTATGAAGATATTGCCAGGGATACAAACAGGGGACACACTGTCAAAGCAGTTTGTGAGAATTTCAACTTGGCTAAGGATGCCGGATATAAGGTACAATAACATTTCTGATGAAAAGTGCTAAGTTTATGAATATGTCATTCTTAAACTCTGTATTTAAAATTTTGATTCATGATCTAAGCTATGACATGAGGGCAGATACTCAGAGGGTACCTAATCATTGACTTTAGAACATTCCTGGATAACTGATTCTATCTGATGAACTTAAATGATTTCAGAATGAAATGAATGTAGAGTTGACAGTATGTTTTTATTTGTATAGTAGTAAGTAGACAATAAAAAAATGTGTACAAACATTATCTCTTCATTTTAGATTGTAGCACACATGATGCCTGACCTACCAAATGTCGACTTTGAAAGGGACGTAGAACAGTTTATTGAATTCTTTGAAAACCCAGCATTCAGAGCAGATGGTCTTAAGATATACCCAACATTGGTAATCAGAGGTACAGGATTGTATGAGCTCTGGAAGACAGGGCGATACAGGAGCTATCCTCCGTCAACTTTGGTGGATCTTATTGCCAAGGTACTTGCACTTGTTCCTCCGTGGACTAGAGTTTACAGGTGAGCGGTTTATGTTTGTTAATTAGTTTTTTTGTTTATGTTAACATAAATGACAGTCACACACTTGTAGGGTATTAGGGTAGTAACTACTTGTCTCTTGTATGAGGAGTAAATAAAAGAGTTCAACTCACTGTTATCACAATGTATTTGTCCAGCACACGAGAAATAAACAGAAGGTACAGTAGGGACACAGTTAGTGACTAGGGATCCCCCTACCCACTAACTGTGTCCTGTGAACACAGCTGGTGAAGAAAACATGTTAAGATTAAGAGTAACTAGAGAACACGACAACATGGAATTAGTCCTAAATAAAAACTTTTTTGAGATATCTAAAAAAGACGCATAGTTTTTCTCATGTGTGTGTATTTCGGGGACAACCAAAGGGACCAACAGGGACATTATTAGCTTAGCATGACAGCTGGCATCACCTGTTGGTAATGGGACCTATTGGATGTGACATTCAAGACAATATGCATTAATAAAACCATATATACATAGTTTATTTATTTTGTTTATAGGTTCGCCTACAATTGTTACACATTTCTTAAACATAATACAAGCATGTTACATAGAGTATGGGTGTATGATATCATCGGCAAACACAATATTTACGTTAATAAATTATTGTCAAGATAGTTGGTGATCATATTGAATGCTTCCCATCCCTATATTTTAAAGTCAAAGTAGGTACTTTTTTGCACAATAGAGAATTAATAACATAACTTACAGTGCTGAGAGTAGAAAATAAAATTTAGACACAATGGGAAGTATTGTTACTGTCTTAGAGGATCTTGGTACTACATCATAGTAGCCAGCCATGCACGCTTAAAGTCGCAGGCACTTTTTCTATCATAGTAGTGGGAATAAATGGTAAACTCAGATTAGTTTTTCAAATTTTGTGCAATTTCAGAGTGCAGCGAGACATTCCGATGCCTCTGGTATCTTCAGGTGTGGAACATGGAAACTTGAGAGAGTTAGCTTTAGCTCGAATGGCTGACTTGGGCACTGACTGTAGAGATGTGAGGACTAGGGAGGTGGGCATACAGGAGATACATAATAGGGTCAGGCCTTATGAGGTAAGTTGGTAAAGTGTCAGATTAAAAACAAAATTACCCATTAATGCCTCGTATTTGAAAGTAGTATGGTTTAACAATATATTTTCATACTACTACTGTATGTCGGTTATCGCGATAAAAAGTAGTCTGTCCTTTTCCGGGACTCAAACTATCTCTACACCAAATTTCATCAAAATCCGTGTAGCGGTTTTAGCGTGAAGAGGTAACAGACAGACAGACAGACATACTTTCGCAATTATAATATTAGTATGGATAAACCCATGCCCATTATAGAACCTTATAAACCACAAATTACAATTACACTATTTCAAGTGCACTAGTTTGTTCATGCTTCCTTTAGTTTTACTAGAGCTATGTCTATTGTTTTTGCTTAATACCCTAAATCGTTACTTTAAATACCTATTACTGCTTAAGTTACTCCTTATATCAGTGATGAATGAAATGAAAGTCAATGAAAGTCCTGTAAAAATCAGTCCAGTTGTTTCGTTCATTAGCCAAAACTATCAGAATACCTTACAAAAACATTTTCTTTTGTTCATTATTGTTGTTGTTCAACTGTTCTTTTGACATTACAAATAGATACTTTAATTTTATTAATCTATACACTTAAAAAGCTGGTATGTATGTAATTGGTATAAATTTCAGGTGGAACTTATTCGTCGCGACTACACAGCGAATGGCGGGTGGGAAACATTTTTGGCTTACGAAGACCCAGACCAGGATATATTAGTGGGTCTATTGCGACTTAGGAAGTGTGCTTCGGATACGTACAGGCCGGAGCTGAAGCCTGGACCTAATGCTAACTTCAAACAGTGCAGTATTGTGAGAGAGCTGCATGTTTATGGATCTGTAGTGCCTGTGAGTTTCGTTTTACATCTTCAAATGATAGTATTAAGAATGTAATTTTTTTTAGGTTAGCTATATTCAGTCACATAGTCATTGAACATTTTAAGTTCAAAGTTGTCTAATCCAAGAGATTGTTTATAAATATCACTTCTAAATTGATACATCTAAGTAACAAAAGGATATAGTAGCTAAAATCCATACCAGTGTTGGTGGAGAGTGGAATAACGTGGGAGAGCCATGGTTTGCCATATATATTATTTATTATAATATTATTTTTGCTTTGTTTTTGCCGCCTCGACCGTTTTATGTCAGAAATAGGGCTTTATGTTAATTTTCAAATATTTGTAGGTAAACGCACGGGACCCAACAAAGTTCCAACACCAAGGTTTTGGCATGCTCCTCATGGAGGAGGCTGAGCGAATCGCTAAGGAGGAACACGGATCTGACAAAATAGCGGTTATATCTGGCGTTGGAACAAGGAACTACTACGCTAAGATTGGCTATTACCTGGAAGGGCCCTATATGGTCAAGATGCTTGTTTAATAAAAGAGTATATTGATTATTTCGTGTTTTATTGTTAATATTGTCACTTACAGGTAATGTTACAGAAAGTTACAGAAATAACCAGTAAGTCATTGTCAATACATATTAGTATTGCCACGTGTATAAAATATGTAAATCTAAAAGACGTTACATGCAAACAGTACCGCGGTAGGCGTGGCTTAAAAACTGCCATGCAGTACTTACGTGGGATTTTGTAACTGTGTTTAGCCCTTCGACGGCTAAGATGCCAAGAGATTCAAGTCAAAAAGGATTTTATCGCAACTACTTCCGACAATAAATTTTGCAGTTCCTCAGCCGGACCTGTACAAAAACCTCTCGAAAATTTAAAAAAAAAATTAACGCAAATAAAAAACATACTTTAATCACATTTTGTATGATGTTGTTTAGAAAAGTGAAGTATATTTCCTGCCCTTAATTTATTCACCTTATTCACCGCTCGACACCTCATTAAATGCTCACTCCCACATATCCTGTTCCTCTCCTTGCAGACCGGACCCGCCGATGTCGATTAATCCGACGGAGATTTATCACAAGCATGTAGGTATGCTACCGAACTACGCAGGTCACGTTCCTGGATGCATGTTCAGGTAAATTTAGAATCTAGAAGTATGTTAGATGCGTTTAGTTTAAAACTTTCTTTTTATCAGACAGTGTTAAGGTAAATAGTAATATTGGACATAACAACACTTAGAACTGTGGAATTCCAAACGAATCTAGAAGCAGTTTAATGTTTCTTTGTAATACTCATGATAAATGTTTAATTAAGGTTATCGGGCAACTCAAAATGGCATCTTATACCACAACCTTCTATTACATTTCTTTTTAATTATGGCTATCCGATTGTGGAATAGGCTCTCAGTAGATATTTTTATTTGTAGGTATAATCTGTATCATGTTAATCACGTTCCAATCGTACCGCTAGTGAAGGTACGCTCTATTTTATTTTGTTTTTAAAGAAATTTATATTTCAGAAAAAATAATATATTGTCATTCTAATTTGTGGTAATGGGTGTAAGAACTTACTGCATTCGGGAACTTAAGCTATTATAGTTTAAACGTAATTTATTAATTTTAAGCCGTAAATAGTAAACATATTTTCTTGTAAATTATATTTTGGGCACCACTAGTCTTAGACTCTTACGAGCCACATTGACGCGGAAGTTCACTTCGACGGGGTATAGTGACCTTCCCTGTCGGTGGTGGGTCTAGTACGGGTTTATTTTACATCAACTCGATCGTTGACGGCGTCGTGAGGAGTTGATGTGAAATAAAGTAGCACTAGCCCCCAGTCCAGACCAATCGCATCGCCGAACATGGTTGCCGTCGACGATGGTGAACCCCTTGGTGCCAGTACCACTCTTATTAGTCCTAAAAAAGCATGAATAACGAAAGACAAAAGCCGATAAAACAATTTCTTCTCTTATTGCAGATTTGGGAAGACGTACGGGAATGATACTCGGGATGCTAAGCGCTGGTTGCGTGGTGACTTTGCACCGTAACACCAAAATTGATATCCTCAAAACAAGTTCAAACATTAAATTCTCATAGTGGTTGTCATCATGGCGTAAAAACAATTGATAATGAAATTATCTAGCCTCTGTAGAAACATTTAACATTGATCTAAATCTTATAGCTAACAATTTTAGGACACCGGTATTAATAAAAACAGGAGTTGCAACTCTTGTTTTATTTTTATATTTACTAACATCGGTTCTCTGTGAGCCTGTGGTATTAGTCCGATTGAGCCTGTCTCATATGTGCCGCATGGCTTTCCCACGACAAAATTTGGTGTCTTCAACGATAATTTTATATACCCTTAGCTCGCATTGTTTTTGCCACCCAGGTTGTAGTGCCAGAAACTTCAGAACTTACGTGGTGATTAAGTTTACATTAGTTGATTGATTGTAGTTTGATGAATGATTCTGATAACGTGCTCATGGTCAGCAAAACCTCCGTCGGTACTGCAGGGGAAATGACATTAAGGCAAAACGGAATGTGGAAGTATCCACCATTATTTAGCATATTTTCTATTTGTACTCATCTAGTACAGTAAATATTTAAAAAGTCCGTGGAAAATTTACGAAATACTTACTTGCGAACCATTCATACATTTTTGTTCGCGCTTGGAGTTTGTACAAAGTATCTGAACTCGGCATTAAAGTTAATAGAAAACCTCTTTATTGGCTCTAATCTGTCTATACTACTCTAAGCAGTATAATTCATCGCTTGAAGAAGCATAAGGGAGTGAAGTAGACCCGCTCTTGACTAAGTCGTAGGTAAGTACCTACCTAACAAAGCAATGACATGGAGTAATATATTTCAATTGCGCTTATAGTCACTACTCTGCTCCCAAGGGTCTAGTGTGATGACTGGAACCCCAAAACAAATACTTTTATAATCGTACTGATATAATAACTGTGTGGAGGTGCTGGGCGTCTGTCTTGCAGAGCTGAGTAAATTTAGCTCTATAATTCAACAATTTGTGGACCTAGAAATTTCGTGATATCTACTACCTCAAACTCATCTACTTGTTTACTTCATCACATCTACTTTTCCTAATTACACTAGTAGTCTATTTATAAAGAACAAAATCCAAAACTTTTAATTAAGTAAATTTCTTTATTTAATACTCAATACAATTTACACGTAATGCTCAACACAGAACTGCACACGCAGTGCATAACCCTTGGTACTACATTACAAAAATATTACAACAGTTTGGATAACGCTTAGACTTTTGACGACAGGACCACTGGTAGAAGGTCGTGGAAAGACACTTCCTAAAACAGAAAACGTTCCAAAGGCATAAATAACGTTTAGATTGTTTTCGACTTTTTTCAAGCTCAAACAGAGTTTGAATATAAATACTCCACAGTGTGAATCAATATTATAAAAAAACTAGGCTGTTTGCTTAAATAGGTGCCTGGTATAGTCCTCTCTGCGCCGAATCAGTACCGAAGATCTATTTACAATACCTACATGAAAATAGTAATGTTGTAAATGTACCTAGGTAATCTATTTTCTTTTCACGCTCCATTCCTTCATAAGCTTTGCTGCCAATGACAGTCTATCATCTTTCTGTAGGCAAACAAAAAAAATTGGTAAGTCTAAAAACGTATTATTTGATACAAATATTAGTTTCATTGTGCACAAACACGTCTAAATAAAGTAATATAGTGTTACGTTGAACTGTCAAACTGTTTTAAGATAATTCATGGACTCTGTGAGATATACAAAATGTTTAAATAAAATCTTGCAGAAGAAAATTATGTTCTCAGCAGCAATTATTATTATTAGCTTATTTAAAATTAGAGGTAACATGACAGGATCCTGTCATGTTACCATGTCATGTTAAGTCATATCGATATCTCTACTTCTTTAAAACCTACAGATTACAAGTTCGAGTACAACGTAGTTTCTACACTTACCTTAATAAAACAAAATCTGGCAAAGTTCTCCCCAAGATGTTTATGTTGTGGGGAGTAAAAGGCGCTTGGTGGAATGGTCATTACGCCACATTCCTTTGAAAATTTCTTTGTAAAGCGATAGTCTTTATATTTGTCCTTTTCAGTGGATAAGTCGATTCTTCTAGCTGAAAAATGAAAATAGACATGCCTCTCATGTTATACAAAATATATACAGGAAAATCAAGACAAATAAAAAAGGGTACCTTGCTATGTTATAAATAAGTAACAATGTCCTTCCAACTTCATTAAAACAAATAAGATAAAACATCTCGAAAAATATAATTATTCTAGCTTTTTATAACTATTACGAATGTAAATCAAATAAACATTGAAAAATATTCTTCAATTAAGTAATCTAAAATAGTGACGTCATAAGTTGCTTTTTAGTGCATTTTTCATACAAAATTGTCGTTTTGACAGATGATAACAGTAACTAATTTGACTACTAAGTTGTCAAATATCCTATTGATTATGCAAATACACTGGTTTGACCTCTTCGGCCGCCATCGAAACCGATGGTTCGTCACCATCATAAGTATCTGTACGTAGGTCCAGTAATAAGGAGCACTATTTCATCTCTTGCATGTATACGTCTTCGTAACTAGTAGGTTACGTAAAAAACAAAAATAAGATGAGCTTTTTTCGCGACTGAGTAAGGTTACCTAAAGCCAACACTCACTTGTGCCTCTTGAGTAACAGGTGTCCGTGGCCGGCGGTAGTCACTTACCATCAGGTGACCCATTTACTCTTTTGCCAGATCTTTGATGAATCCATTATGGATAGATAGTTTTAAAAAGTGAGGCAAAGGTCAGTAATAAATCAGTATAATACCAAGGTTACGCCAGTCCGCAATGATGAAGTAGCCAGCTTCAGCTATGGTGGGGCAGAAGCCCACCTCAGTGAGTGTCTTCACCATAAAGTCTCTTTTAGGTTTAAGTTCTTTAGCCAAAGCTTCCATGTAGAATTTAGGGGTAGTACGTTGGGCTAGTTCGATGTCAAGCGCCTGTGCGATCGCTTCCTAAAACGATATGACTCTCATTATTAAGATACGGTAAGAGATAATCTCACCAAAAACATTTTCATTTAAAATGTTGTCAAGACAAGACCATATATCTCGTACTGTCAAAAAATTATCAGATCTCATATAGAGCCAAACTTCTCACCCTACACGCCTTAACTCTAAAAGCCCTACGTTCACAAACTCAACACCTTAGTCAAAATATGTGGCTAGGCCGTTTCGTTACTAAAAGAACTGTTTTATAGCAGAAAATTAATGAACAGTGAATAAAATTTTCACCTTACGCCCATGTGACATTAGCGAAGCCGCCATATAATGTGTAACATATGCTTAAAATTTTCAGGGTATTCTACTATCGACGTCATACCCTGAAAATTTTGTATATCTGGTATAATCCAAACCCAAGTTATAAGGGTTAAAAATAACGACGAAGCACTTCGAGAAAAGGTAGGTAGTGCCCTTGTCGTTTGGCTAGTCTTGGCGGGGTCACTACCGTGCCCCCAGATAAGCAACTCTTGCGGCAAGTTAAAAAAACTCGACAAGTGCGAGCCTCACTTGCTCACCGAGGTTTCCGTACAAGTTTTTATGTAGATAGGTCGTACGTAATATCGAGGTATGATTTCCGAATACATTTTGCCTGTTTTTCTCGAGTAACATACACTCGCTCACATAATTATATCGACATTGGTAGACCAAAAGCAGAGGTTACTGTGGCAAAACTAAGGACCACTTTATTGTTGTCAGCGTTAAAAATATATGTTGGCTAATGGGTAACCTAGAGTTGGTACTAATAAAATGCCGACACGGTAAAATATCTAAACTCAAAAGGTAGTTTTGAGTTTGCATTTTTAATATACGTATAACAATGAATTAACGTGTTCGTGTGATGTGATCGATGACTGTTTGCCTATGTTGATACGTCCACGCATTACTAAAGGGTTTTGACAGATAGAAACAGACAGACGAACAACAAAGTGATCCTGAAAGGTCACGTAAATAGTAAGTAATAAACAATGAAACATTCACGTCTATGAAAAAATAGTTTGGATTTTTATAAATATTTTTTATGCATAATTTCATTTTCTATAAGTTTTTATATAAATAAGTTACCTGTATCGGCGTACAGCAAGTATACACACAGTTCTGGTGTATAATCTGCAGATGGCGCATGATTTTTGAATTACCGTACGCCCATCCTATCTTCCAGCCGGTTACTGAGAATGTCTTGCCCGCTGAGCCCACTGTTATTGTGCGTTCCCACATGTCCGGCAGAGTGGCTGGTTCATTGTAATGTTAGGTATTTTAATAAAAATAATTTCGACGAAAAATGATGTGTGTGTCTTTAACGGATCACATGCTTTGAAATTAAAAAAAAATAACTTAAGAAATTGTGAAGAGAAAATAAATAATGATATCTTCACAATACCTTAAGTTATTTTTTTAGAGTAGTACAAGTATACAAAAGAGCATCCTAAACTAACGAGAGAGGTTCTTGATATAGATTTATGATATTATGAATACGAATATCATATTGTTTGTTTGCTTGACTTTCACGCTTTAATTATTCAATCAATCATCATCTGTCTACAAGCACTTAACCCTAATCCCTTTTTATTTATTTTTTCTGTGCGGTAATCAGTGCCACATAATGAAACGTTCTTTTCTTCCAAACAAAACTGAGTTAGGGGGCTAGTATAAACTAAAGAATGCTTATACTTCACTCCGTCAAGCAAACTCACACACCGGTATATTGTTATACATAGACCCGAGAGACAGAAAGAGATAATCCCATGGAATGGGCATAGCTTCGTGCAATGAGAGACACAGGTAAATTACACTATCAGTATTACTGACAACGGAAAACATCTTACCCATTCTTATATGCTCATTAGGCGGATATACCACCCACTCGTACACTTCATCGGCCAAGCACAGTACATTATATTTCTCACAAAGATTGGCTATGAACATCAGCTCTTTACAGGTAAAGACTTTGCCCGTAGGGTTATGTGGATTGTTCACAATAATTATTTTTGTACGGCAATTAAACATAGAAGCTAACTCCTTCTCATCTAGTATCCAGTCTGCAGAGGTTACTGTGCCACAAGTTTTTTTCTGTGGGTAAAAAATGGATTAAACTTTGCCAACCGCATACGTAAGGATATGCCAATATTGCAAATATAGAGCTCACAAATAACACGAGTATTTCATCCAAATATTGCTTCGTCACCTTTCGCGCCTAAAACGTCCAGCACACGCGGACGTCGCTCCTTTGCGGCTGGCTGTTATGGCGAGTGGAGGGAAAAACCCGTCCCGTCCACCCGCGGCCACACTTAGGGCGGCATGAGGCGCTGGTAAGCGCGCCTACGCCGCCCGGTTCGAGGGCGGCGAATTGAGTCCGAGTGGAGGTTATCCTCTCTCCGCCGCCTCCTTCTGCGCGATGACGTCTTCACAGAAGTACAGCCGTCTCGTCGCGACGTTGGGTCACCCAAATTGGGTAAAAGTCACCCAAGGGCAGACGCAGCGCCGACCAGTTTTGTAGCAAGCTGTCGGAAGTGCTCGTCGAAGAGCTACCTCCCGTCGAGGACTAGGCCCAGATGGATAAGCCCTGACCCTCGAACGTCCCGCTCGAAAACCGAATTGGGCATCCGACAGATCGCCCACCTCAAACTTGAACAAACCTATACCAACCCGTTTGGCCAGCGTGGTATAGTAGGCCAAAACCTCCTTTCTAAGGAAAAAAGAGGCCTATGTCCAGCAGTGGACTACTAAAGGTCGAGGGGATTAGTAGTAGTCCGTTGGATTGATGATGTGATTATGATGTTCCTATCATTATTTAGCAAGGCACTTACTAATTTAAGAGGTATAAATCTCGGTACACCGCCTGCGCTTCTAATCATAAATTCGTAGCAGTCGAAGAAAGGCTCTATAACTATAACCTCATCGCCTGCTTCAACATGACCTGAAAAGAAATTTCTTTATTTTTTTAGTTGAGTAAATTGTGGAAGGAAAACTGTGAAACTGATTGAAATCGTATCAATGTACAAAACTCGACAACGGCTCTCAGGCGAACTTAGAGATCTGAGGAGAATATAAATTATTTAATATAGTAAAAATCGATGAAGAGTTCGGCAGGTGAAATGACTAAAACATACAGAGCCTTTATAAAAAAATTATTAAAACGTTTGAACTTGATATTGAGAAATTATATATAAATTATTAGATGATATTTTATGATCTTATTAGGATTGTGGAACCCTAAAAAGGTTTTATTTAAATATAGAACTTTTGAAATTACCCAAAATGGCGCAATATATTGCTTCATATCCACCAACGGTGACCAGGATTTCATTCAGTGGATTAATATTTCTGCACACCAATGGAGAATACAATTTCGATAGATTTTGTACTAATTTAGGATGACCCTGGAAAATTGAAAGTGGTCAAAGGGTAATCAGTTTTATGTAAAAACACTTCGTACAATAATTGTAAAATGTATATTTCGTTTTCCATATACTCACAAACCCTCTTGTGTATTGGTGTGTCAGTGGATTTTCACTGATAGCTATTTTTGATAGAGCCTTTCTTATATGTTCTGGTGCATGAAAATCCGGGTAACCCTGCCCGAGGTTCACTGCAGGTTTAGTATCCGCTACTAGTTGAATGTATTCAACCCTAGAAAACCATAAATAAAAAAAATGATGGTAATACCAGTACATTGGAATTCGTGGAGGTCCATTTCCGCATTTAGACTTATAAACCTGTCTACCTTGTTGCAGAAGCAAAGTAACCTCCTGTTGCAGTACAGACTTCTTAGAGCGATCTCGTGTCCGGGAGGATGCTTATACGTTGTGTGGCTACTCCCACACAACCCAAGATTAAATGTACAGCTGTTTCGTCTTCGTGGAAACATCTATACAGAGGGTTGTCCGTAATATTGATGGTGAATAGCTGTGGATTCAGGCTAGATGTCCCGTAATGGTTCCTACAGCTATTCAGATATCTACTTAGTCTATTAAGATTAAGCAGTCTACAGGTTAATATGGAGGCTCCAGGTAGTACCGGCTTTGGGCAGCCTGGAGTCGGGTGTATTGTTCAAACGTCGATTGTGAGATTAACGAGCCTAGTCTTAAACATAACGAGCGATCGTAAATACTTACTAGATTTAATAGTGCCGATTTTCATTTTCTGAAGCGCATCAAGATTAAATATAAATGGATACTCTACAATGTATTGTATGATATATCTTTTTAAGTACCAACCATACACTCTTTTCGCCAGTTCCCAAGCGTGCCGGAAACTTAAATTTATCATTTACAGTTGTCTCTAGAGTGCAGATTTTATGTTTGTTAGCCACTGCTACACCATCCACAGCACCAAAACGGCGGCTCAATGTAGTGCACAAAGTTTTACCAGACCTAAACATCGTAGCAATAAAATTCAGCACAATTCGTAATGACAGTCAGTCATTCGGGTTCTGTCATTTTTAAGGTGAATTTGAAACATGATTGCAAGACCTAGTACACAATTAATAAATAACCTTAATAAATAATACTAAGTAAAGAAGTTTTAATCATTTGATATTGAATTGCCGGTTATGCCATTCTTGAATCTTCACGAGATTTTTAGCATTAAGAAAGAACTTACGTTTTTATAAAGAATACTTGCCTTAGAAGACTAGAAACTACAAACTAGAAAAGCCTAGAAATTACACACTATTTATAATTTCGTTCGCTATTTTATTCATATTTTCGTGGGAGAACTTCGGCACATGGAAAACTTTAGTTACTTTTCACCGAGTGAGTGAGGTTTACTGGAGGCCATTCTTGTTTTTGCCTGCCATATTTACTTACCTAATTTTAATATACTCAAAATACACTTCTGCAAAAAATTAAGGGAGCAAAAAAAAATGAGAATTTTTCAGTGATTTTTAAGGGCCGTATTTCTGTGGAAAATGGTCGTATCAAGCTCGTAAAAAAAGCATCTTGCAGCTCAAAAATCCTAATTTAGACGGTTTTTTTTTTCACTTTTTTCAAGTCAAATTTTATTGCAGATTTTGAAACTGCCCTACAATTTTCTGTCCGATTATTGGTTGTTGAAATATTGATGGCTTAAATCAAAAGGGTCCTTTTGCATTTAAATGGTGAACAAATCATTATAGAGAAAAATTAAAAACAGGAAAATAAAGCTAATTAAACAGGTTATCAAGTCTATACCATAATTTTATTGTAAAAAGTCCAAGCCCGTGGACTGAAAAAAAAACATGAAATATTTCTTTATTTTTTCGCGCTATTCCTCTGAATTTATTGCTAAATACTAGTGACGGTTGACGGCAAAGCGGTTGTCCTTAATTCCATGTAACTAAAATTATATTTCGAACTATAACAAAAGACACCTCTGTGGTTTATTTAAACGTTTCTCCCCAGTGTGAGTCTTATAAAATGCCGCCCCTTTCTAGCTGTAAAGTCCGACTTGTAAAAATATCTGAAAACATTTACTTACAGAAATAAATATCATTTATTGTTGACAAATTTTGGGCGTTTAATAAGCATCTGTTTACCACTTCGGTAATTTAGGAGTAAGTGTATGTTTTCATTACCTTACATTTTGTTCATTCATTCATTGATTTAGGATTTTCACAAAACGTGGTTTACCCACAAGTTACGGGAAAAAATATTAATATACATTAATAAAAAATAAGTTAAAAATAAAAGTTTATTTTTTTATGATAAACAACAATATATAAAAAATAAATGAAATTACAAATCAACTATTACCTTAGTCTAACGAACAAACGCTGATTTTTTTGTTGGGCTCAGTCCCATTTTTTTTTCTAATTCGACTGTCCAAGCAAATATAAAACCTAAAGAACTCGATTTTTAAATGTTGCCCAATCAATCGTATGCTTGGCAAAAACAGTTACAGTATTGTGTGCTTATAGACATCTTTTTCAAATGAAAAACACAATATTGTAAGCGTTATTTGAATGCTTATAATATCCACTAACCTATAACTTTTGAGTTGTGTGATGGCTACGTATTCAGTTGACTCAGTCTGACCATAACGGGTGCAACTTGGTCGAAACGTCAGATAATTGAAAGGTAGTACCTAATACATGACTGTGTTAATTCCTGAACGTATGCATAATTATATATTCAAATCCTAATTTAGCTACAACTGATAAAACATTAATTTGTACAATGTGAATTATAAATATTTCAACATGAACAGCCTTTAATAGTCCACTGCTGGACATGGGCCTCTCCTTAGAAAGGAGGTTTATAAATAGGTATACAAATATAAATTTTAGGATAAATAATAATTTTAAAATATGTAAACAACATAACTTGGAAGACAATAAAACAATATCAAATATGTTGCTTAATAAAATAAAACAGACACAAGCATCTAATTATTAGACTCAGCTCTTAGGCTATTAAGCAAATGGTTATTGGGGTTTTCTCATTTGCATCATGTGGAACCAAAACATAAATAGGTAATGTGGTTATGTATAAATGTATGTCTTAAGCCTCTTACAATTTTTTTGAAAAAATATACAATTTTTTACAAAAAATTACAGTTTTGAATCATGCTTTATACTTGGTAGACGTTGCACTTTATGTGCTTGTGAATGTGAAATGCTTGAAAACGATATGACTGTCACAAAGAACAGTATTGAGATTTTAGGAATCTCAATTCTTTGAGCTGCAGAGGTTAGTGAACTCACCCACTATTCCGTACAGAAATAATTTAGTGGCGTGAGTATTTAGTGTTTCCTATGATAGCGTTTAATTGAAATAGTCGAGATTTTCTTTTCTTCGCAATTTCCTTTCCTATATTTTACTAAGTCACCACAATTTTTTTACAAAAACCAATAGGTATTAGGTAGTACTGCTAGTATACCTTTATGATTTGGATTTTTTCTTGTTCCACTCCTTCAAAAGTTTCTCAGTCAATGCCAGATTTTCGTCTTTCTGTGAACAAAGAAGATGTTGACTAGTATAGGCTGTTGATGTGATGATGTGAAATTATTTGCTAAGGACTCGAGGACCAATGTGCATATGTATTATATTTACCAGTAGGTAGAACATAAACCCTTACCTTGATAAAACAAAACCTGGCATAATTCTCTCCCAAATGCTTGTGTTCTTTTGAATAAAATGCAGAGGGCGGGATGGTTAGTACACCGACCTCCTTCGCGAACTTCTTCGTGAAGCGGTAGTCTTTGTACTGGTCCGATTCCTTGGATAAGTCGATTTTATCAGCTGGAAACATAAAAGCCAAATTTAGTTCCAATTATAATGTATAAAGGTCCTATCATCGGCGTAATTCGACGGCCTCGACTAAAACCAGTGGTAGGCTATTCCGTCGCTGCTTTACACACAGTTAGCGGGGTTAACGGAGACCAAGACCTCTTCTCCTGATTCTCGGGGTTCAAAGTACGGAAACTCGTACTTAGAGGTACAGTGACACCTACTGAAAGTTTCTGGATTCTGATAAATAAGATTTACGATACATTTATTGTTTTTCAAAGTATATTTCCCCGTAATTAATGCATTTTTGTATTCGCTGAAACCACTGTAAAAAGCAGTTGGACCAGTTTTAAATTACAGTCTAAGTTAAGTCTAGTGCAAAGCTTCTGAACCTTAAGATGCACGTGTAATATGTTTTGCACTTGGCTCATTCCAATGCCTAACAAAGCAGTTTTTTTTTAGTTTCAATTAGTTGTCGTACGGTGTCAATATTAGAGTCTGTAACAGCAATCGCCGGCCAGCCTGCACGTGCATCATGAAGATGATCACGTCCACGTCAAAATTTTCCAAATCACGAATACATAGAGCTGTGACATGGTGCTTCATCACCAAATGCCAACTGAAGTCTTAGGCAACTCTCTTGTTGACTTTAGCCACAACGAAAATCATAAAAATCTTTAAACGAAAATGTTAACAAGTTAAATTAATCAAGGACGTCACAATGAGAAAACAAATGACTGTCCCGCAAATAAAAAAATAACATGTTCCCAGGGTTCCATTTTCAAATTCCATAATTGTTCTTTTATTGTAAGTAGCCAGATCCAGTGACTTTCAGTATGCCCCACGTATTACAGTTACTAGCTCTTAAAACATCTATTAGTATTGATTTATTGATGACACTTAACATGTGAAAATATTCTAACCAACTCAATGCAACTTAACTTTATCTTGATGCCATTATGTGTAGCCAAATTCTATGTAACTAGAATAGCTAGCTCAGTATAAATACAACATTGTTTGACAGCAGTTTTACTACCGACTTCTGTAGGGTAGTGGGAATCACTTTATATATTATTATTTTTTCTGATTATTGGAAAAAACAAAGATTGTTGCTATTTTGTGTGTGTTGATCTACGACTTTAGTCTACATAAAATACGATTTCAAACATTTTTTTTTTTTCTGAATTTTTTCCGTTTCCGTTGTCCGTTTCGATTTTTTGAATTTTTTATACGAAGACATTAACAAGTCAAAATTACCTAATTTAGTCCAGTCAGCAACAACGAAGTAGCCAGCCTCCGGTATGGTGGGATTAAACCCATTCTCTGTAAGTGCTTTTATCAGAAAATCTCTCTTCGGCTGGATCTCTCGTGCCAAAGATTTCATGTAGTAGTCGGAAGTGTCACGGCGGGCTAACTCATATTCTAGTGCCTCAGATATTGCTTCCTAGAAATACAAGAAGATCGTTAGTATACAATTTTCTTTTTTGGTATATTGATAAATAACTCATTCCCTTTTTGAACTTTTAACCAGAATTTAGTTTTAAAAAAAAGGTTAGGGTACAAAAAATAAAAAAAATCTTAAAAAATCAGAGTGCAGATCATACCTGCTAGGATGATTTTGATACAAAGTGGTTTGAAACTAGATACATAACAAGTTATTAAGAATACACAAATTTACAGTTGATTTATTCATACACACTCAGTACGTACACATATACGTTTCAGTCTTGAACAGAAGAACTTAAGTTATATGTGTTACTGACCTGTATTGGTGTACAGCAAGTGTACACACAGTTCTGGTGTACAACCTGCAAGTTGCGCATGAGTTTTGGATTAGCGTACGCCCATCCTATCTTCCAGCCAGTCACTGAGAATGTCTTGCCCGCTGAGCCCACTGTTATTGTGCGTTCCCACATGTCCGGTAAAGTGGCTGAAGAATTTTTTTTATGTTGGGATTATAAAACATGACAATACATGATTTTTTGACAACTTCTACGTTTCATTGTTTGATTCCCACTGAGTGGAAATATTTGTCTGCATGAATGTATTTTTTTTGCATTGGTTCATATTAAGTTATAAGTTTTTATGTATTGTATAATTATAAACAAGTATGTGTTTCTAAAAGTGATAAGTAACATATTTGAAAAATCTTATTTTTTCGGCTTTATCCGTGTTGATCTCTACAGAGGTTGATTTGTTGATTAATTCAAGGTACATACACATGACATTTGGTAAAACACGAAATCTTGACAGTTGTCTTGAATTTTAAAATTCAAGATGATATGGTAAAACAATTCTATATTAAAAAATATTAAGTTGTCACTCCTGAGTTGCAGACGTTCATCGTCGGCGATGGTCACTTTCCATCAGGTGACCCGTCTGCTCGTCTGCCCCCTCTAACATAAAACATAAAAGAAAAAATAAATATTATTAAAGCACTCACCCATCCTGATATGCTTTTTAGGCTCGTAGACCATCCATTCGTACACCTCATCGGACAAGCACAGTACATTATGTTTCTTGCAGAGGTTGGCAATGAACGTCAGCTCCTCCATTGTGAAGACTTTGCCCAAGGGGTTGTGTGGAGTGTTCACTATGATCATCTTTGTTTTAGAATTGAAGAGACCAGCTAACTCCTTTTCGTCTAGTACCCAGTCTGCAGAGGTGATGGTGCCTGAGGTTTTTTTCTGTTGGGGAAATAATTGCGTTAAATTAGCTAATTCCGACCAAACCGAAACCGGACCGCGTGTGCCAGACTTCGTTTAAATAGAGAATTCACCCATAGGAGATGGCCTCCGAGCAGGCGCTAAGAGGGGTCCGGATGTCTTAATTACAGTTGTTCCCGGATCCCTCCTATTTCAGGAGCAGAGTGGCACACTCTGTGGTTTTAAACGGTCCGATGTCGACACACTATCTCGCCGCAAATGATGGACCGGTGAGGTGACGGCCCGAGGGGGTTGCCACGCAAGAAAAAAGAAAAGGTTTGTTTCAAATTTTCCTTCTCTTTACAGCGCTGATGTCCTGCGTAGTTTGCTCCCATAGTCGGCTCTTAAGACACCCACGGGATGAATAGGGGTGATGACGCCGTATTTTTAAGCCTGTCACCACAGGGATAAAGATTTCTAACATACAGTACGGAAAATACGTTTCTGACTCGATCTAAAATTGGCTGTGACTTTTTATTTTAAACAACTTATTTATCTATTCCGCATATGCTATTTATATGATTGCAAAATTTTCTAAGGTATGTAATGTTCAATATCGCAAGGTGTACACACCTTGTACCTCACTTAAGGTAAATGTAAGTAACAATTACTCTCACTTGCTTAAGAGGAATAAATCTCGGCACACCTCCAGCACACTTGATCATGAAGTCGTAGCAGTCAAAGAAAGGCTCAATCACTATCACCTCATCACCCTCATCCACATAACCTGCAAATAAATTGTATTTTATTAGATAAATACAATGGTATTATTTTGCATTGTGATTCTAAGGGGTTATAAAAGCTGACTATTATTATTTTCTGGAAGGACAAGTTAAAGGTTTTAAATTAAATTATGTTAAATTCTCGTTATTTCATATATTTTTTTGAGAAATTTAAAACATCGACAAAAGCCTATAGAAACAAAGAAAAAAAATCTTTAGTTAACTATGAAATGCTTAGTTAATTCTGAATGTAATTTTTTTAATTAACATCTACAGATATTTAGTTGCCGGAGAGAATAGCATTCTGGAAGTACCTATGTTTACTTTTACTCACAGAAAGAGTACACAACAATAATAATAATAACTCAGTCAGAACAAAAAAACAGTATTAATTACCCAGTATCGCTGAATACAAAGCTTCATATGCACCAACAGTAACCAGAATCTCATTTTGTGGATCAAGATCCCTGGATATTAATGGAGAGTACAGTTTACCTATGCTTTGTACTAATTTTGGGTGACCCTGCGAAACCAAAAAAAAAAAAAACAAATTAAAACATTCACAGTCCATTAATATATGTGCATTCATATATTTTCATAATATAATTAATTGTTTCCCTGCTGCGTAATAGTGAAAACGAATATGATCTCATCCGTTCAACTTAATTTTAGTTTTAGGGTTCTGTACAACATTTTTGATCATATTGTGTAGAAACAAAGAACCCTTATGGTGTCTGAAGGAAAGAATGAAGATGTAAATGTCTTATTTTTCACATACTGGCCTGTCTCTCTAATAGTGAGTGACTCTGACTGCTAAGCTAGAGCTTATGTGTTCGGTTCCCACCCAGGCCAAATAAATATGACCATCATTATTTGTACTGTGTCTGGGTGTAGTTTGTTTATAATATATATGTATATAGAAATACATAAGTATGTTTGTCGACAGGCTGGAGGCCAATTCTCATAATAAAAGTTCGATCTAAATTCAGTAAAGAGGAAAAATAGCCTAAGTTACTCCTTATACAGGCAGCTACCTGGTCATAAAATATTATCAAAATCGGTCCAGCCGTTATGAAGATTACCGGGAGTAACCAGACAGACAGATAGACACACAATACACATGAACGTTTTAAAACTATGTACAGTATGTATTTTAGAAGGACTGAGGTTAAAACATATTTCATCATAAAAATTATCAACTATAAGTTAAGATATCATACTACCATTAAACTCTGATGATCCTTATCAAAAAGATATGATTTTACATAACATGGTGTCATACCGAGAGCATCATTTTATCATATAATTTAAAGACTACACAGTTTTATAACTTAAGCAAAGAAAAATGAATCTAATTACAAAGCTATAGAGATAGATATTGTATAAATATGTTCAGTTAATATTTGTTTAGTACATATATAACTTGTTCAGAAATAGTATAATCCGAGAGATGTTTAAAATCACAAATTTAAACAATATTTATTATTTTAAACTGTTAAAATGGGAGTTTTGGTAACAAAGTTTTGCTTCACTGAAACATGGTGATGTCAGTTCAAAGTGTATGTACTGCTACTAAAGTTTAAGAAAATATACTGAAGGTTGAGTTATTTCGGGACCAAAGATTGTTTTTCTTTATTCTTGATCTTTTCTTGAAATTTAATGAGATTTAAAACTGTCTGAAGTGTATAATAACATTTTGGATAAATTTTATTACAACATACCATAGACTGTGGCATATTAATAAGATGGATGTCAGGATGTGTCCAGAAAAAGCCCCATTTAACAATACTTCTCAACAAAATGGTAATTCAAAATTCAAACAGCATCTACTATCAATTTTTTTGTATATATACTCACAAATCCTCTCGTGTACTGATTAGCCAAAGGATTTTCACTGAGGGCTGCTTTTGAAAGTGCCTTTAAAACATGATCTGGTGCATGATAGTCCGGGAAGCCCTGACCGAGGTTTACTGCAGGTTTATATTCTGCAGCCAGTTGAATATATTCAACCCTAAAAGAAAGAAAAGAAAAACGTGAAGATAAAGAAATTTAGATGGGATAAAATAAGCAATTAATGATTAAAAACCAAAGAAACACCTGTCCATTGACATTTTGAGGAAAAAGCATTATTAAGAAAGTAACATCAGTATTTACTTATTATTTCTAACATATAGACAGTAATAACTATTAAAGACAATGATTATTATTTAAATACGAACTACAAATAAAATATAGACATATATATATATTTTCAAAGTCACTCACCACACACTCTTTTCACCAGCTCCATAGCGGGCAGGTAATTTAAATTTATTGGCCATTATAGTGCATGAACTAAAGTTTTTCTGTAATTGGGTAACACATATGCTATCCACAGAACTGATGTGTCGGTTCAAAGCAATGCACAAAGTTTGTCCCCACCTAAACATCGTAATTATAAGCTATAGACAAACGAGAAATCAGTTTAATCTACCATCACAGTCATCAAAGCCATCGGTGTGTCTTCTCCGATTTAAAGCGACGATGTTGATAATTAGGTAAGATAAAAATAGTGCGTAATACTCACAAATTAATTTGTTACTAAGCTGACACTAAAAATGATTAGATATTTATATAGTTCGAATATGACAGTACTCTACTCAGTGAATGCGACTAAACGACCAATCAAATCAAATTATTATCAGTATAATGCTTATAAATAAAATAGGTACTCCAGCCTTTGTACATAATAATATATTATGTATTCTTATTATTACCTATGCATTTGATGATAATAGGAAAACGACCAATCTGATTTTGTAGCGTTAAAATAAAACTGTCACAATACAGAACATAATAATAATATATCCTCCTAGTGGTCACAAATTACAAAGTTATCCAGTTATCTGATAAGAGATGTTTATTTTGATTTATTTTTTTGGAATGTAATGACCTGGTAACTAAGAAGAGATGTTTATTTAGCTCGGTCTAGTGGTGTGCAAAATCGCATGTCATCGAGTTCGCTGATTTATTAAGTACTTATTTCTTAACACTTCGAAGACAAACTACTGTTCCTTCTGCTGCCAACTACGTCTTTATCTTTTTTAATTTCAGTTATAATAAATATTAATTACCCTCAACTTTTGTATCTTCTTTTTTAGCATTAATTCATTCTTACCACTGTTAGAGTTCACTAAATAGTAAAATTCTTACCTATTAACTGGCTTTTTTAGTCGATTTTGTTTATGTTTTTGGTGTGTTACATTTTTCGAATAGAATCGAGAATCTGTGGACGATATTTAAAGAAAAGGAACGGAAGTATGTAACAGGAAGCAGGTGAAGAGCACGCTATACCACGCGGTGTCAGACTTGGTCAGTAAAAACAGTAGTAAACAGTAGCTTTTGACAGGACTTAGAGTTAGATATCAACAGAAAATTATCAATTGTTATTAAAACAGCGTCTACTTTTAACGAATAGTAATAAAACTGATTATTGTTGAATTTAGTGTACCGGATGTCATTTCACTAGTAGTATTAATTAGATTTAATGAGTCAGTTTATATTGCGTTAGATTTTGATACATGGTACTGATGTTTACCCATAATCTAGGTTTAAATAAAGAAGTTATTTTACTACAACAGTGATAAATTTTAAGTGTTTGTATACCCCTTTTAAATTTCATTGATTCTGACATTGATATAATACTTACATAGATGAGTAATTACCGCCTAAAATCGTTGCTACTGCACATCTGTCCACAGGCATATGCGTAGCAAACGTCAATTCAGTGTTCAATGTGGCGTCAACCGAGTTGAACATAGCGACACATGACAGTAACAATCGCCAAAAAGGGTAAATGCGTAGTGAAAGAATGCGATTCAAGGTCAAAAAACCATAATAAATCATGCGGAATTACTTATCACGTGTAAGTTTGTGGTTTTTGTATTGATAATATCGTAAATAAGGCTACAATTGAAATAAAACATTGATAATTGTAATTTAGAATCAGTGTTACCATTAAAAAATCATTTTTGTTTTCCCACATTAGTGGGAGAATTTTTAATTTATGAAATAATATGCTTTATACTGTTTTTAAACATTTTGTCAATAATAATAAAATATAGGAAGAACGGTAGTTGTTAGGGCTGAATCGATCACTTTTTTAGGGAACATCCGTTGAACGTTCACCTTCTGCCAAGCTCGCAGTGTTGGAGACTTTTGTATAAAAGAATTAATTCATTCATTTTTCTTAATTAATTATCAAATATAAATAACAATTGTACAAAAAAAATATATATATAAAATAAAAAAGTAAATAAATATAAATAAAAAAATATATATATATATATACATATATATATATATTTTTTTATTTGTATTTTAAAATATTAAAAGAATTTGCAATACACCCTGGGGATTATTCATTATCAGTACAAGTTGATCATTCACTTTTACTATTAAATGCCATTATTTATACATAGGTAAGATTGTATCATGAAAGTAAAATATTCACACAAACTTATAAAAAAGAGTTTAAAAGACAATTGTATACAAAACTAATGCTTCATAGCGGAGTTTGATTTTACACTGAATATAAACCCTTTTAACCAAATATTTCTAGTTATTTTATTATTTATACCTATTCCATTCAATTCGAAATATATTATTTAAAATATTTAAATTAATTTATTTTATTACAAAATTGTTTAAAAAAAAATTGTTTCTTGGTTGTTATGGGTAAAATTTCATACGGTAGTCAACACTGGCCCATCATCGTAAAGTTATGTCTTTGTCTTTGTCTAATCCGAGCGTTGGTATTGTTCTTGTCTCGCGTGTAAATGAGACATAAATATCTTTACTGTCAAATGTTTAGTGGTATCAAAGCTACGTCGTCAAAGTTCAAAAGTGGTTACACTTTTTTCGACGTGTGATAATGAGGTTTGCTTCTCTAGTGTTGTTTTAACTCAATGGATTCTGAAGAAATGATGGCATTAGCAAATTGTATTCATAATATATTTATGTCATTTGACTCCCAAAGCGTACTTCTGGATGAGTAAGAGCCCACACCATTATGCCCATTATACCCGGCACCCTACTATAAACTCACTTGGGGGAATACCGTCTGGTTCCATTTTGACATAGGTATCATTTCACATTTAGTTCTATTAGAAAAATTACTCATTTTCAGGCGAAAAAGCAAGGTGAATCAAACCGTCCTATGATGTTAAGACCACCGTTTCCTTTGCTAGGCGCAACCAACGGTCCATAGCGAAGTTCTGATACAAATCTACCTTTAGAGATTAGAAAAATTCATGCAGATACAAGAACTTGTGTATCTATCGACATAACTTTTGCAAGTTGCAGGTAGCCTATGTATTTAAATTACTTCTGAGTAATAAAGTTTTTTTGGCATGCCATTTCCATTTAAATTATGACTAAAATCAGTACTAAATATATTTATAATTTTTCTTATTATAAAATACATTATTTTATTAATAAATCAAATTAGCGATAATGATTGCTAATTTGACTTATTAATAAAATAATGTATTAAATTAAATGTAGGTATTCATTAGAATACCTAAATTTAATTTAACGAGCATTGCACTATAGTCTAAAATTTTATTTGAAGATTAATTCCATTGTCCCACTCTTGGGTTCCCAAGCTAATGGTTATTGCTTCTTCTGCACCATGTAAATTAATTAGAATACCTAAATTTAATTTAACGAGCATTGTATACAGCATACGTTCATACATTATACAGTTCAATTCATATAAGTATTTAGAAAAAGGAAGTTTAGGATAAGAAAAAGCTGTTATGTCGTCGGTAACATTGTTTAGGTTAGACTTTATGTATTTACGAATGTGAAAGCATTGGAAGCGATTCTTGGTTAATCGAATCGAAAATCAAATTAAAATGAGTTTTTACAAATTTGCACCCGTTGACCCGCAGATGGTAGTAAACTCGCCTGAAATTGCATAGAGAATTCATTTACAGGCTTGATTATTTGTAAATGATCAGTATATTCTATTGTCCTGTTCAATAGGAATAAAAAAAACTTGGGAATAGTTGTCAATTAAATTTTTTCCTTAAAATGTACTACGACATTATATTATACTTTCTATAATTTGGATTTCTTCTCGTTCCAATCTCTCATAAGTTTCTCAGTTAGTGCTAGGTTTTCGTCTTTCTGTAAACAAAGAAAACATTATATTAAATTTTAAAAACTAGATGGTATAATAATAACAATAATCTATATTTATTATCTATTACAAATAAATAAAATTGATGTGTCTGTTTTCTGTTGTCTGTGTTGTCTGTAATGTCAAAATAATGGGATCTCTAATGCTCACACTGGCTAACACGGTTATTTGCAGGACACCTATGCCTAAAACCAGTTTTTTGTCTGTTTTTTGTTCTTCTATTTTAATCTGTTTTAATCTTCTAAACGGATTAATTGATTTTGATAATATTTTACTAACAGGTAGCTGTCTACATAAGGAGTAACTTAGGCTATTTTTCCTTTCAGAAAACTTCTCAAGAAAAGATTAAACAATCCAAATGTTTATGATCGAAAAGCGTAGTCTGAAAGGCTAGCTTAATTGTAATCTCTTACCTTAATAAAACAAAACCTGGCATAATTCTCTCCTAGATGCTTATGTTCTTTGGAGTAAAAGGCAGCGGGCGGGATGGCCAGTACGCCGACCTCTTTGGCAAACTTCTTTGTGAAGCGATAGTCTTTGTATTGGTCCTTTTCTTTGGATAAGTCGATCTTGTTAGCTGGGAACATCAAGGACAAATAAGGATACAAAAAAATAATCTTTTCCTAAAAAAAGTGTAATCTTTTTAACACTTTAACTTCACTTAACAGGGTTTGGCAAAGAAATCAATGAACACGACCAAATTATTGAATACATATGACGTAGATTTCCAATGTTTTTAATATCGCAGTGCGAATATAATACTAATCTACACAGGTGGTTAACTAGTTACTTCTGGCAGGTAAACTTATTGGTGATTATTTCATGGAGCGGTTAAAAAATCATCATCCTTATTTCTCTGACCTTTTCCCAATTGTAGTTAGAGTTTTTGATGGTTATCTTAGTAGCCAATTCAAAATGTGACCCTTGAGTAATGTGTTCGTTGTCGATCCGGCAAGGCAAAGAAAGGAAGTAAAAGGTAAAGTGGAACACGAAAGGAAAAAAGGCGAGGGAGCTAGAAAAAGAAAAAGGGATACTGCAAGACTTGCATAAGGAACAGAGCGGAAACTCCTGGAGTTCTAAGAAGCCATGGTCACATGCCCGTGTATCTGTTCTGTGGTTGGAGTAGTCGAATGCAACTAGATTTTTTTTTATGGCTTACTTGTAACAAGTTTGGTAGTATTGGGACACTTATTTGTCAAACCAAATGTATAAGTTACATTAACATTACATGCATAGCTTTTAAAACTAAATAAATATTTAGAAGAACTAACCACCATATATCAGGTTATATTATTAAAATAGGAAAACGTCTTTCATGATTGTTTTTACATATTTGTTTTCTTAAACAATCAATGGCCTAAAGTTTCGTTTCTTACGTAGATATATGAAGGTTAATAATTGAAATTAACAAGTCATAATTACCCAATTTAGTCCAGTCAGCAACAACAAAGTACCCAGCCTCCGGTATGGTGGGATTAAACCCATTGTCTGTGAGAGCCTTTATTAGGAAGTCTCTCTTCGGCTGGAGTTCTCGTGCCAAAGAGTGCATGTAGTATTCGGGAGTGTCACGGCGGGCCAGCTCGTATTCTAGTGCATTAGATATTGCTTCCTAGAAGCACATTATTTTAATACAAAATTATTTCTAGGCGTATCACCTTAGTCCGTGTAGTGACGGATTAAGAATACGGAATGTCACTACCCCAATTCATCCCGTGGGTGTCGTAAAAGGCGACTAAAGGCGCAAAACAACGCAGGACACCAGCACTGCAAAAGGAAGGAAAACTTGACACAAACCCTATACCAACCCGTCTGGCCAGCGTGGTATAGTAGGCCAAAACCTCCTTTCTAAGGAGAGGCTTATGTCCAGCAGTGGACTATTAAAGGCTGTTGATGTGTATCACCTTAGAAAGGAGGTTTTCTTTTCTCTTGGTATATATATATACCAATAATCATACGATTGATGATATCGATTGATCATTAAGAAAAACTATAAAAAAATTAGAAACTGTAGCCCTCTCTTACTTATGGTTTAAAGATATTACATGTAACAACATAAATATGGCTTTGCATTATCTTAGAATCGCTAAAGGTATAAAACAATTATATCAGGTGACCCGTCTGCTTGTCTGCTCCTTATTACATAATAAAAAGACTTTGAATGTTAAGTTCTATATGTGCCACTGACCTGTATTGGCGTACAGCAAGTGTATACACAGTTCTGGTGTATGACTTGCAAGTTGCGCATAAGTTTTGGATTAGCGTACGCCCATCCTATCTTCCAGCCAGTCACCGAGAACGTCTTGCCCGCTGAGCCCACTGTTATTGTGCGTTCCCACATATCCGGCAGAGTGACTGAGGATAAATTTTCATTTTGGGATAAAAATGTATAACAGATTAGGCACGACCTGTATTTCTAAACTATACATAAATTACACAGACATAAAAATCAATTGATCGTGTTCACACAATTATTTGTTTGTTCTGGGTTAAAATCTCAATCTCTGGCTGGACTATCTCTATCTACTCACCTATTCGGATATGCTTTTTAGGCTCGTAGACCATCCACTCGTACACCTCATCGGACAAGCACAGTACGTTATGTTTCTTGCAGAGGTTGGCTATGAACGTCAGCTCCTCCATTGTAAAGACTTTGCCCAAGGGGTTGTGAGGAGTGTTCACTATGATCATCTTTGTTTTAGAATTGAAGAGACCGGCTAACTCTTTCTCGTCTAGTACCCAATCAGCGGAGGTGATGGTCCCTGATTTTTTTTTCTGTTGGTGAGAAAATTATTTCAAATTAACAGATTCATCCTGAGTGACAAACTGTACTTTTTTATAATAAATGACTATCAAATGACTCTCACTTGCTTAAGAGGAATAAATCTGGGTACACCTCCAGCGCACTTGATCATGAAGTCGTAGCAGTCGAAGAAAGGTTCTATCACTATCACCTCATCACCAACTTCCACATGTCCTGTAAATGAACGAGATATTACTAAGGATAATATTTCAGTACAGGTACGATTACAGTGCAGTATGTCATCGGTAAAGCCGACAGAAGGTCATCTTCATTTTCTATACTTACTTTTTTGGAAGAATATTGAATATCTGTAAGGTCCCGTTGTTTCGAGAAATTAAGAAAGTCGTGAAATGTTTATAGAGGTCGCGTAAGACAACTGGTGCAACCTACTAAGTACATGTTGCTTTGGCCAAAAAATAGATATATACTTACATAAATAGAACATCTGAATTTTAACGTTGCTATTATTCCTTAAAATGTTTGTCTGCCTGTAGAAATTGAAGTTATGCGCTTTACGTAATTTACATTTTCAGAAAAAAATAGCAAGGAAATTGCAAAGAGGTATTATCATCACCAATAGCCTTTAACAGTCCATTGCTGGACATAGGCCTACTATAATATATGATAAGATTTAGATTTTGTTTTATTAAAATTCATTAAGTTTAGTTAGTTATTATACTTAATTTCAATTATGAATGCTGTAATTTAAAGAATTATTCTGATTTTTTAAAATATTATATTTGTTAACATCTCTAGATAGTTCGTGAATAGGAGAGTGATTCCTATCATTTACTACGAATTAAAAGTAAATAGTTTTTTATTTTTACCAAGAATGGCTGAATATAAAGCTTCATATGCACCAGCAGTGACCAGAATCTCATTTTGCGGATCAAGATTTCTGGATATTAATGGAGAGTACAGTTTAGCTAGATTTTGTACTAATTTAGGATGACCCTGTAAAAGAAAAAAATACTTTAGACCATACGACTGAAGTAAAACTGCTTGGCTATGAGAGAAAGAGAGAAAGAAAACGTGTACTTGCACCTCTTTCTCTTGCCCCTGTAGTAATATACGAAACGTAACTCTCTCTCTCTTTCTATCTTCACTAACTTATATCTCCCTCTCAACTTCCGTTCGCCTCGCCCGATCACACCTTTTGTAACGCTCACGCATTCACCAGCTTACTCCCCAAGTCAAGCGTGCGTAAAGAAGTTTTACTTCAAAATTAAGTAATTAAACACTTGAACACTTTTATTTCCCTGCCGAATACAAATGATCATAAATATGATATTATTCGGCAAACAAAAAGGATGCACCGAACCCTGTAAATAGAGTTACTCTATTTTCAGGGTTCCGTACATCATTTTTGTAGACGTACGTGAACCTTTATAGGATCCTTCGTGTTCTGTTTTTGTGTAAAGACATTTATAGATAAGTATTTCGTGAAAATAAATGTCAAGTACAAAGATCCACGGACTATTTCAGCTCATAAAACAATTCAATTTATAAGGATACGAAGCTGGATTTATCAGAAAAGGGATTCGAAACATTTTCCAGTGAATCTACACCCACATTTGCATATTTTACTTGGCGATATACTATTTTTCATATGGGGTGGAACGACGGCACCCGTTAAATCGTTGACTGGTAAATTGTGTGTGCATTAAGTAGTCCACTAGCTACAAGTTAAGTTAGTTTTGTTTGTACATAATATTATACATAGAAAACACCTCAACTCTGAAACAAATATTTGCAGATCATACAAACATTTGGTCCGACCCGGAAATCGAACTCGAGACCTCAGCATAGCAGTCGCATACGCTACCACCGCATCACCGAGGTAGTCAAAGTAATTGCTGATAGCCAACACAGACTCGTTAGTGTGTGTGAGTCTCTAACACGCAATCTCATTTGTCCTACAAAAATTGTAAAACGTTTCAACATTTTATGTTATAACGACATAATAATCAACTATAAGTTTATACACAATACCACCATTAACTTCCAATTATCTTTATCAAGAAGATATGGTTTTACATAATATGGTGCAATATTGAGAGCATCATTTTATCGACAAGCATACATGGGACTATTTTGTGACCTCACCTTAGTAAAATGAATCTAAACAACAAGACATAGGATAAATATTGTAAAAATAAGTTCAAGTAATATTTGTCTAGTACATTATATCACTTGTTCAGAGACAGCAAAATCTAAGAGCTGATTAAAACTTTGGATAGCATAATTATTTTGAATCATTATTCTTGCCTGGCCTGTTGGCCAAGTCGTTAGTGACCCTGACTACTAAGCCGGAGGTTGTGGGTTCGATTCCCACCTAGGACAAATTATTGTGTCATGGGCGTGATTCTTTACATCTATGTTTGGATCTAGAAATATATAAGTATTTGTTTATTAGCAGTCTGGTTACCATAGTACAGGCTGTGCCTAGTCTGGGATTTGATGGCCGTGTGTGAAATGTGTTAAATTATTAATATTTTTGTAACATAAGCTCTGAGAAAATAGTTAAAATGTACTCACAAATCCTCTTGTGTACTGGTTTGCCAATGGATTTTCACCGAGGGCTGTATTTGATAGGGCCTTTAAAACATGATCTGGTGCGTGATAGTCCGGGAAACCCTGACCGAGGTTTACTGCAGGTTTATATTCGGCAGCCAGTTGAATATATTCAACCCTAAAAATAAGAATTATTCGTAAAGCTATATAGTACAACTATATAGCCAGCCTATGTCCAGCAGTGGCCTATTAAAGGCTGTAAATAAAATAAGCTTCACCTATTCTAACTCGGTGGTTCTGAAACCACGGAGTTAGAGTAGGTAAAGGGAGATAAAACTGCTCAACTCATTGATGATAATGATTATCATATTTTTTGCTATTGATAATAGCTAAAAATATGATAAAAATATAAAATATAAGCAATGCAGGTAAATCTCTAACAAACATTAATGCCTTTTTCTAGTGCACCAGGCTGCGTTTTTGTTACCCTACCCTTCATCTTTTTTTTTCGTGTGGCAACCCCCTCGGGTCGTCACCACACCGAGGTTTGCGGCGGGGTGGTGTGTCGGAATCGGACCGACTAAAACCACAGGGTGTGCTACTCTGCGCCTGTAATGGGAGGGATCCGGGAATTGATGTTATTAAGACATCGGTCCCCTCCTAGCGCCTGCCCGCAACTGCGCGGGCACCACCTTCGGGTACATTCTCTATTTAGGCAACGTCCAGCACATGCGGATGTAGCCTAAAAAACTCGTCACGACCAGGACGGTGCTATGGTGGTCGGATATCATTCTGCGCCCTGTGCCGCCTGGTACGTCTACTGCGGAACGGGAGACAGTGTTTATCGACGTCCGTTACGTTCTGGCACCTCTTTGGTAAACATCACCTCCTCGGAATACGAGACATCGGAATCATACGCACTCTCACTTCAGACCATGTTCAGAACCATGATTATCTAAACCAAAAGCCATGACGAGAACGTCGAACATCGTAATGTTACATCCACTAACTAGACTGTGGCATGCAATATCTTCACGACAACCACCGCAATGGTGACAATCAGATGTCGGCTCCAGGCCTTAACGACACAAATAGTCAGCGGAACATCCGTGTCCGGTGAGCACAATTATAGCGTGCCCTGTTGTTCTGCTCTCTTACGTTATTTAATTTACTAATACAGACTACGTTCACTTTCTAAATACTAACTTAAAAAAAACACTTACCACACACTTTTTTCGCCGTCTCCGTAGCGGGCAGGTAATTTAAATTTATCGGCCATTGCAGTGCTTGTACAAATGTTTTTCCGTAATTGGGTAACACAAATGCTATCCACAGCACTAATGTGACGATTTAAAATAATACCCAACGTTTGTCCCCACCTAAACATCGTAAATATAATATACGATACATCTGTGTAACTTACTATCACAGTCTAAAGTCAAAGTTCATCGGTGTATATACTTAGATTAATGGCGTCGATGTTTACAATTAGGTAAGATAAAAGAGCACGTAATAATCACAAAATAATATGTGACTGTAATATGCTGAAATTTATCAGATTTTAGTTCCAATATAAAAATAAACATTTACCAGACTTTACACCTTACACTTACAATAAATAATGACATAATTAAACGGTCTCATCACGAAAAATGTCTTGGATTGTGGGTAGATGACAAACTTACCTGAAAACTACACATAGCTCACGTTAGAACAAATTTAATATCGATACTGGGCGCATTACAGTATAAAAGCGCGTTCCAACCAAAACCTGTACTATTATTTATAACTTGAAGGTCACATCTTGAATATCTAATTGAGATATGGAAGACTACAAAACAAAATAATTAAAGTACTATTCCATCACCATTACTTAACTCCAACTAAACTTAAATATGAAAAAACTAAATTACTGAATCTTAGACAACTTTACATCTACGAGTATTATACTTGCATTCTAGTTAAAAAGATTACTAACAATTCCATTCAAACTGACATACAATTATACAAAAAACCAATCACACATAATTTAAGAAATATAAATAAATACAACTAACGAAAGAACTAACTACGGAAATGTGAGGATCTATGTGAGGGAGCACAGCTGTATAACAGACTGCCGAAAGAATTAAAGGATTGTGATTAGTATAAATGCATTTAAAAGCGGGCTTAAGAAATATGTATGTACATTCAGTAGCATCCAATACGCTAAGAGGTGAATGTTGTATTAGTCATAAGTTAATTACCATGTAGGTATCTCATTATATAAGTCAACTACCTGAAGTTCTTATGAGAATAAATTCTTTAAACCCAATATGACAGTAGGTGAATTCGAATGCTTTTTATTGGTCTATGTTTTGTAATGTAACGTTTTCATTCTCATCATTTCTTACATAATTAGTTTCTGCAAAAAAAAAAGACGTGTGGCACTCGGGGACTGCCGCGGTAAAGCTATTGCATAGCATTTTGTATCAACTTATGCAATTATAATTATTTATTTATTTTATTTATGCAGTATTTCTTTTTCTTTGATATTAATTCAAGTTACACTTTTTGAGCGTGGTGACCGATAAGAAAACATTTTTTTTTCTTTTATTAAATAAAAATATTGAAGCATATATTACAATTTGTTTTTAAATAAATAAATAAAAAATATTATTATTAAATCAAATTACATATCCATGTAAGATTTTTCTGCATTATGTTGACGAAATTTCCTTTGACGTTCAGCATTTGATTTTGGTACTGTTTTTTGTTTTGTTTTTAGCGTGAGGTTTTTTTTCGTTACGGAATTTCTGGATTCGGTCCCCGCGCTCAAGGCCCTCGATAGAAGCTATGCAATAGCTTAATAATATCTTCTGTTAGGTTGCGTCGCCGTCCTGTCTTTTGACGTACCCAGGTATGTATAGGGGGCAACCCAGCAAACGGGACAGGAGAAGGTTTGATATTTAGAGATGGATCCAGGGTAACTTTACTCACTCGGTGGAAAGCAAGGACAGACTTGAATACCGCAAATCCAATCATCCATGACAGGTCCCACCATTTTTTCTATTGCGTTATACTAAAGCTATTTTTTTAAGTGAGGGGAAGATTAGTGTAAAGTGTTTCCGACTTGTATGAATAAATTTACTGCTTGCAAATGCAACTGGTCCTACGGTTTGCTGGTCTAAGTCGATGGATATACCTTCTGCGAAGTCTTAATAACAGATGTTCCAGAATCCCTTCTATTTCAGGCACAGAACGTGTGCTGTCGACTCGATTCTGACACATGACGGCCGGACGATCATAGTATTCCATTCCAAGTAGGTACTATTCCCTATACAAAATTCTGTTTAACAGTTAAATGCTACATTAATAATTGTAGCTTTATTAAAAATAAAGTCCCACGTTTGCCGACATCGAACACATACCTCTTATAAAATAATTTCAACCATAACATCTTGATGTAGGGTTCTAAATAAAATGACAAATATACGAAAATGAAAATATGAAACTAAAATTCTCGGCTCATTGCGTTATTCATTATAAGTATCGGAAAAGGTTTTCATTTTGCTGAGTTGATTGCTCCGAGCGGAATGGATGGACATGATGTATTAGGTATTAGGAATAGGTGCTTATGTATTTATTAAAAACCGGTCAAGTGCGAGTAGAACTCGTACGCTGGGGGTTCCGTATCTACCCATAATACCATTACCATATAATATTATCTTTTATTTTCTTTCACACAATAGCACAATTTTATTTATTTACCTTATTTGAGGTTGGTGCCAATTACGTCAGTCCTCTAAATTGTATGAGCACCCATACAACTCAGAGGACTATCTTAATTTGCGTCAACTATGTATGTATGGGGACACCTTTTAATTTTCGACTTTTTTATTTGTTGGAATTTTTTCCATTATTTGTGGTGTAAGACCTTGCTTTTTGCCAAATTTCGAGATTCTTGGTCAACGGGAACTACCATATTGGTTTTAGACCCAAAACCTATAGGGTACTTCCGGTTGACCTAGAATTTACAATTTTGGTAAAAACCAAGGTCTTACAGCACAGGTAAAGGTAAAATTCCGAAAAATAAAAAATAAATTGAAAATTAAGATAATTTTGGTACTTAAAAGTTTTTGATTTGCCCATTGCCATTGCAAATTTGCCCATATCTTCTTATCGCATTGACTCAGGACCTTGATTTTAATACTTCTAATAGGGACTATAGACCTCAGTATCTGGTATAAATTTCAACTTGCTGGGTTCACCCGTTCTTGAGAAAATCGGTGGTGACACACGGATAGACAGACGGACAAGAGAGTGATCTTATAAGGGTTCCTTTTTACCTTTGAGGTACGAAACCCTAAAAATATAGGTTACGCAACGATATGACACGAGGTAGGTACTAAGTACTATACAATATTGAAACACCTTAATTTGGTATTAGACATGTTTACAAGATCTACATTTTCGACATTTTAAAGATATTATTGTATTTCTTTGGATAATGAAATGTTGACATTAAAAATTATCATTTTTTTATAAATTTCATCAGATAACATTCAAAGGGCGTTTACTGATTACGAGTAATAGCGTTTAGATCAATAGTTTTTGCCTAACAATTTGAAGCTAATTAAACATTGATAGTCAGCTGATCAGAAGATCTCCACTAAATTCCTGTAGAATTAGTGCATCATCGACATCATTAACAGCCTTAAATAGTCCACTGCTGGACATTGGGCCTCACTTTAGTAAGGTTTTGGCCTACTTTACCACGGTCGCCAGTCGGGTTGGTATAGGGTTTGCTTCAAGTTTTCTTTGTCTTTGCAGTGTTGTTGTAAGATGAATAGCGGTGATGACACTCCGTATTCTTAATCCATCATCACACGGTACTCAGAACTAGCGCACCACTATCATCAACAGCCTTTAGTAGTCCACTGATTTACATAGGCCTCTCCTTAGGAAGGAGATTTCGGTCTACTCTACTATAACTAGCCCATGGCTGGTCCACACATTCATGCAAAGAAAACGCGTGTTTAGTACGTTTCTGAGAGAGAGAAACGTATTAAACACGCATTTTCGTTTACGTGATGGGGCAAGACTATTGCCATAAACGGGGTCCGGTAGTTGGAGGAGAGAGTATATGGGAAATATTTGGAAAGGAAAAGTAGAAAGAAAGGGTGATTGTTTCAAAGAGATGTATATTATTCTCGGTTCAAGAATTATAATCATAGAAATATAATCATTGTGTTTTCTCTTGCACCGCATCATTTTTCCATATCACCCGAAGGTTGACTGGCAGAGAATGCCCTGGGAATCAAGTCCCAAGACTTATAACCTGAGTAACTAAAATAAGTATTTTAAATATATAAATATATTTCTGATTTTTTATGTACAATACTACTTTGTAAAACGGTGTGCAAATAAAAAGTTTTTTATTTATCTATCTATCTGTATTTTATACGGATGGATTGGGGCGTTTAACTTTGAGCAAGTCAGGGTCGCATACCTTTACTTGAACAGACCGGAAAGTCAGAGCGCTATGACCAAATAAAACTAACGGGTGGTTCTTCATAAGTTGTCTCCCAAGTTGCATTGATGTGTCAGGGTATACTCTTTTTAATATATTCGTATATTTACGTCACGATATCGTCACATTCGATCGAGTTGAACAAAGGTTAATCCTTTATAAGGCATCTGGGTATTGGAAAAAGTTTTAATGGACAGTTATTGAACCTACCGACGACCCAAGAGCCAAATTAATCCGAATCTATATTGAGAATATCGCCTGTCATCATCTTCTACGAGACAAGAATAAAGGTAAAGGTTTTTTTACTGCTCTTCGTTGTCTTTGTCAACACCACGCTGTAAATCATTTTGTTTTTTCAAAAGGCAACATTGCCTACATATTTCATGTCGCTAAATATTGCTATTTATTTATTGGAAGGCTGTAATTTATTTTATTTAATTTAGAGGTAAACACATTAGAACTCTTACGGTGCGTCAGGTCCGGCAACAGGCCAGGTACCGCAGACGACTCAGGCTCCGGAGGTCGCAAAATGACCTCCGTCCTTCATAAGCGCAGGCCTGGGGGTGGTAAGTGAGGCTATCTGTCACCCTAGCAAAAGCAGGCGGGGGTGGTGGCGAGACGCGCTGCGGAGCGCGCTATCTTTCGGGAGCACAAAGGGGACATAGGTGCTCCCACACAGGAAGGGGTCATTTACACGCCGTAGATGGCCCTAGGGGGGGTATCAGGGTTTTGGTCAGTTCGAGTCCGACATAACCACCGGTGGGTGGTATACAAGGGGATTTCCGCACAGATAAAAAGAGGTAAACACATTGTAAAATTAAGCAAGCCCTAAAACAGTCCCACAATATTCTTCCTACAGAAGTTCGATACCGCCTAGTACTTGAGTTGTGGAGGTCTGATGGCAGGCGCTCTGCTTAAAAAATTGAAGTTTAGCCGTATCGTAGTAGACTTTAAGCCGGCCCAATCTAGTTTAGGAAAAGGCTCGGAGGAAGAAGAAAGATTTAATTTAAAAATAATGACAGTTAAATACGCCCATGCCCCTCTCTTCAAGGAGAGACGTGAGTATATACATATGTATTTAATTACTGTGTCAATGTAACTACGTCATACTCGTACGTGCACGTATGAGTATGACGTAGTGGTTTAAGCGGTCCCACGCTGCTTCCTACTATGCTGAGTGTTGTGGGTTCGATTCCGACAGTGTGTGTGATCTACAAACTGTTGTTCTGGGTGTTCTTTGTGTCCGTTTCATGTATGTTATTAAAGTCAGAAGTTAAGTCAAGATATATTCCTAATTCGGGAGTTTTCTTTATTTTAGATGGATAAAAATAATAATTAAAAACCCTAATTTTGCTATACCTCATTACTTTTTATTGAAATGATTTGCAAGTTTCTTCGTCCTAATTTATAATTAAATTGCTACACTATTTTGTCAGTCTATTTAAATTTTTTTTTTTATTGAAGTGTACTTACTAAGTTATATCATAAAGAAGAAGGAAAAACAGCATGTGGTAGAAGGCCCATACAACCGATCTTTCCTGAACACCAAAGTCCACGATGCAATCCACAACGCTCAGAGCAAACCAAGATAAAGAACAATAGTTTACGAAATACACGGAACAATGCCACGACTCACCATTGAGGATAATTTTAATATATTCAATGACTTTTTCACAAAAAGATAAACCTAATTAAAATTACATATCATTCATCAAAATCGATTAAGCCGTATAATGCAGGTATGAGTACCCGTAGGAAGGGATACACCAATAATTTTAATGTTTTTGTTAAACGGTTAAAAGCAGGTTATGCGAGCAACAAGCTTGTTGATATGTTTATATTACACTAGTCAATAGTCTATTATATTCAAATTCACAGAAATTATGTTTGTAATAGAATATTCTTTATAATTAATAATATCGATCTACTCGTAGCTGAAACGTTATCGAGAACATACCGTAAGTTCAAATCAGTGCCTGAGATAAGTTTCAACTGAATATAACTTTAAACGCGTTCTGTAATAAGAAGAATGCTTAAGTTCTAATATGAATTTAAAACTAATTTCAGACAATCGGAGTTCAACCAATACTTGAGACGTCTTTTAAGTGATTGATGAGTCTCCTAATTTGATTAGACAGATGACAGTTAATATAATGTATGAAAATTATTAATTATTAAACTTAATGATAAGAAACTATACCAACTAACTAAAGTACTATATATTAAAGGTGTAAGGACTTATTTTTCTCTCTGGCTCTTGTGGATTTCATATTTTAAGATCAAAAAGACACGAACCTTATAGGCTATTTGATTTTTGTTTCGTGTTTAAAAAAATGGAATTCATCTGAACTAATTTTTAAAATCTCATATTTAAATAGAAACTGCAGAATTGTGGGTAGTAAAAAGTAATGAACTCAATTTTCTCTAAGCTACTTATAAAATTTTCATTATCGTGAACCTCCTTAGGCTGATTCTGAGAAGCGCTGACTATAGATTTTATCTAGCTTATTTTGTCGAATAGATTTCTTACA